TGCAGTAAAAAAAATACTGCAGTTTAACCCCCAAAACAGTGCATCTTTGTCCTGGTGTGAAAGTAAAATTTTACCAACGACAGAATAGTGAATAGGACTAAAAAAACAGGAAAGGAGGATAGGAGGACATTTTTAGAGAAGAAAATTGTTCCATTGTTTGGCAGGATTCAAACCCGAGACTTTTTGTCTAAGAGGTTCAGTAACGCGAGTGGTTTGCGGGTGCTCTGATGTGGTTAGCTTTTTTTCATTCCAATCAATCATCTATCGTCCTTCTCTTCACTCTCTTACAAGTAACACCTCTAATCTTCGGAACTTATATATATATGTTATATCTTATAAATTGTTTTGCAAGTGCTGTAAAACTCATAAAATAAAACCGAACAAACTTATCAGTAACCTTTGGGCTCGTGTTATTATATTATCTGGGAAGCATTGAAGTCCAAGGTGATACCTTTTTTTTCAGTGAAAGGTTAATTATTTTTTAAAATTCAATCATAACATGGATATTTCAGCGTTGATATAGTACAAAGCTGATGCCTCAGTTTGTTTCCTGAAAGAGTTTTTTAATTTTTTTTTTAATTTTTTTTTTTTTACAAACTTTACAAGTAGCCTTCACTGGGTCTCTGCCAGATTTCTTCTTTCTTCTCATAGCATTTACATTAAACCACAATTTGTAGCCTTTCCTGTGTGTTTTATAATCTGCAATTGCATCATGTTGCCTTATTTTTAGTGTGGATAAAGACAAGAGTGGTCAGATCTCTGCGGCAGAACTGCAACAAGCCTTGGGCAATGGTAAATTTGTTTTGGGCCTTCTTTGGTGATGTGTTGATCACAAACATGCAATGACTATTAGTCCTGCTTTATTAAATAGTGTGTCTACCTCTTTTGGCTATAATGTGACAAAATTGTTACCAAATATTGTCTTGAACAAGTTTTTTTTTTTGGTGTTTTTTTAAATTTAACATAAACATTGTTGTATGATAAGAAAGCAGGAACTAGTGATTGCAAGTTTCATTATAATTTATTCTCTTGGCCAAAGCCCTAGAAGATGTTGATCATCATTGAAGATTTTGTTTATAATGCTTATTATAAATCATATTATAAGATGTTGTACTTTATCATATTTGTTTGAAGCTACAAGGTGAAGTCAAGATTTGGTGCTTTCTGTGCTGTGAAACCCTTGCGCTTCCAGTAAAGTTGTACAACTTTCTTTACAACTCTATCACAGTTTTTTTAAAATCAGCGATACACATCTTCTTGGGCTATGTGGCTAAGTTTAAATGAAGGCCTCTGTAAACTGAAGTTCTCAAAGATGTATATCTGTTATTGCCACTTCTTAGGATCGATGGAGATCGGAGCGGAGCTATATCTGCCAACGAATTGCAAAGAGCCTTGTCTAATGGTAAGGTTAAACAAATGGCTTGTGGTTATTCCTCCTAATGACCTATTGCCAGGGGAAAAATGTTTCTCTTAGCTCTGTTAATTTGTGTGTATACTCACTATTGGACTGTTGCTATGGTTGGATTAAAATTCCTGAAGTACAAGGGTTTCACAAAGTCATGTTATATGTTGTAAAATAAATGGCTAAGTACACAGAAGAGTCATCATTTGTGCTTTTTTTCTACTTCTTCTGTTTAAATCTAGTGTATTTTATCAGTATTGATAAATGTACATTGACCATGTGTGATTCTGCTATTTTGTTAGTAATGTGTATATGTTGTTATTGTTATAATTTTCTGGAAATATTTTTTTCAGGCACCTGGACCCCATTCAACCCAGAGACTGTCAGGCTGATGATTGGTATGATGAAGTCATTGTGAAAATGAAAGCAGTACATGCATGTCACGACTTTGTGGGATCAGGCGCTTGTCAATTTTGGGGCATCTAGGGTTAATGACATAATCTTAAAGGTTGTTTATTTACCATTGTTTTCATGAAAAAAGTATCCATCTATCTTCAGTGCTTCCACTCTTCCGTATTTTTACGGAAATCCGTACTTTCTGCCAGTTCCGTACTTGTCCCTCCATCATTATCAACTCCCTCCGTAACAAAAAACTGCGACAGCGCAGGACTGCCGAAATTCCGTACTCGCCTTCGTATCGTCTTGTTAAAGATGAGGTTACGGATATTTACGGTAATTCTCTCAGCAACAAGTCAAAGTTATAGAAACCTGCCAAATTGCGCATATCCTGCAATCGGCCATTATACAGCTATGTCCCAGTCCCATGCATTCATTGCGGGTTGGTCGGCAGTACATTTTTTACCTGCAGATGGATCATAATCTGGCGAACTTTTTGTGCCAATTTCCTCCTTTCTATCATTTACTCATTCCTTCTGTATATCTTCGGATTGTTGCCGCGGCTGGAAAATCTGCGCGTTGATCAAGTAAATTGACTTGGGATCATAGACAGAAAAGTACTGTCAGAAAGAAACTTTTTCGCAAATTTGTCTAGATCTAGAGAAATTATCAATGCGAAGATTCTACCACACTCGAACGCAATATAAGGGCCGCAATGAAAGAAATATATGCTGATACGGGCGTGCCCACTGTGGATGGGATGGGCCGATCGCACTAATCATTCGCCCGACTCGGTCGCCTACAAAAAAAACTTGTTTGTTTTCAGTTTGAGGCGATCAGCCCGATCCAGCCGTAGGTAAAATCAAGAATAATTCGAAGTGGTGCTTCAAGGTTGTGACAGGCGACATTCAGACATGAAAATTGAGAAAAAATTTGGGTATGCGCTGTGCAACTGCATTTTGAAAGTAACGTATCTATTCATTATTCCCAGGTTTGCCTGCTATCAATGGTGCGACGACAAATTAATTGAAGTATAGTAGCAGTGAAAGGGGAACCTGCTTTTAAACATTGCCAGCAATGGAAAGATATGTTGGTGAAGAAATCAAACAAGACAAAATGTTGGTGAAAAAATAAATGTTATGGGCTGTAGCAATATCTTCAAACAGCCTCCCAAATGCCATTTTCAACCCTCTAAAAGCACTAAATTTAAATTTCTTCGGGGGCTTCGCCCCCTGAACCCCCACTGGGACTCTGTCCCTGGCCCCTGCTGGGGGCCTCTGCGGCCCCTAGACCCCCTGCAGAATTTTCCTTACTTTTCAGCTTCAGCTGGTGGAAGCACTGTTGAATAGAAGTCGAAATATTTGCACGTGAAGGGGTGGGGATCGCCTGGTGTCAGGTAAAATAAGTGAAAAAATGGCCTCTAAAGTTGGATGACTCCCAAAGCTATAGCAGCCCTTAGAATTGTTTATTTACTGTTATTTTTAGTGCCTATGATTAGGTACCAGAAACTAAATTTTGGAAGTAGCTGTATGCCAAATTTATCTGTTCCATGTGAAAGGCATATATCCACTGAGCATTTTGGTACCATTCTTTAACCTCTCAGTCAATTTTAAAGAAAATGATAGTTGTTTAGAATTTGATCAAATTTGTTAAAGTCAGTCACTGGCTGCAACCCCATGTTTGACAGACAATAAAAGAGTATCCTACCAAGTGCCCTAAACATCTCCACATTAACAGAGTACAATCACTGTAACAAATATATGGAGCCTAATTTTTTTCAAGACTGTGAGATCATAACAAATATGTATTTTATCACTTCAAACACGATGATCTGTCGTTATTTCGACAAAAACACCGAGCGTTGACCCGGCCGGCGCCGCACCGGCCCCCGCGGCGAGCGAGTCAGCTTATACTGTAGTGTACCCCGCGTGCGGGGTCACATGCTTTCTGAGTCTCACGGAAGGATTGGTGTAAAATAATTTCAAGCTGATTACTTTATTCTAATAGAAAATAAACTGATCTTTTCATTCATACCTTTTTTAAGCCGGTATTTTACATATTTTGGGTAAAAAGTGATCTTTAAACATTTTGACAGCATTTTTAAAAGCTTTATATTTAAACGACAAAGGCTAAATATATACCACGGGAAAGTCTGTTTAAAGCGCTACAGTTCTCCACCAATGAAAAGACAGTATTTAATCATCGCTCGTTCCGCGAAGCATTTGAATGCACGCATTTCAATTTTTGAACCGGCCGACCACGCATTCCGACCGCGAGGGGCTTTGCTTTCGTCTGCGATTCTCCAACTCCTAATAATCGGACATATAAACAACTTACACCATTGTAACGAGGAAAAGCTGAACTTTTACAAGGTGTACGGCATTTGGTGTTTTATAGTGAAAGAGCAAAGAAACAGCGATCGGAATTACCCCGATTTCACCGATACCACGCGGTCGGAAGGCAGCGAGTGCCCGCGAGGCCGTGTTTACGCTACCTACTATGATCAATGTATTTCAGTAAAGTCCATGCAAGAATGCCTTTTAATTTTAATAGGTGCTGAGACCAAAACGAAAAATGTAATAAAAATTACCCCTTGAGAGGGAAAATGCCAGTTCCTTCAATTTCCGTATCTTGACAAGCGCCTGACTTCACCAGGATGACTCACATGTATTATATATTTATTGATCATCATAATATTAAGTATTAAGTTGCACAAGCGTGTCAGCTTTATTTAACTCAGTACAAGTGTCTAGGGTGTTTGAATGCAACGGATCTTATTTCTTTACCATGGTTTATTGTTCTGGATGAATAGAATTGTGAATGTTCAGAATAATGTAATATACTGTTGTAGGTAGAATTTCGAATGGATTTTTGTCTCTTTTACTAAATTTATGCATATTTATTCATATGAATATGAGTGTTCACATGAAAAAGATTTTTTTTTTCGTGGTTGGTGGCCAAAGTAGAAATTAAGGGTTGTTTTTTTTTTACTCTTGTCCCTTGCTTGAATTGGGGGGAAAATGTTCTTGGGAGCCATGTATGATCATTCTTTTTTTATGTAAAGTTGTTAAGTGGGCACATATGCCTTATCAGAACTAAGAAATAGAGGAGTGTAAAAGTTACAAAATTTACAGACTGCATGATTGTGTGTCTTTTGCTTTCGTTAGTTTTATGTTTTGAGGGGAGAAAATAATCAAATTATACCACATTTGGGAGGAATTTTTAAACATTGGCTTTGATGTATTTAAATTTTTATAATGACAATCTTAAATTTTCTACTTTCAGGCATGTTTGACAGGGATAACTCTGGTACCATCAACTTCCCGGAGTTCATGTCCTTGTGGAAGTATGTGACTGACTGGCAGAACTGCTTCCGCTCTTATGACCGTGACAACTCGGGGTCCATTGACAAGAATGAGCTGAGGACTGCTCTCACTGGCTTTGGTATGCTTTTTCCGTTCTTTTAAAGTTTTTTCTCTCCTCTCATTGCTGAAAACAAATTTAAAACATTTCGTACTATGCACAGGGATTTCCTTGGCTCACAATTTGTCCCCAAATGTCCACTCATGGGGATTCCCTGTTCGAAGTGACGCCTCTATAAGACAACCTGTATGTTTTGTCACAGTGTCTGTTCTTGGAAAATTAATAGATAATGAGCACTCTAAGATGAACACACAAATAAAACTGTTTTAGTACTAATTTGAATGTAGGTCAATTGGTTTGAATCGTATGAACAATAGCAAAGTGATCTCACATACCTAAGAGACGTTGAATATGCTAATTATAGAGATACAGATAGAGAAGGAGAAGTTATTAAGAGTCGTGCTGGTTTTAATTAAGTTTATGCAGGTGAAAAAAAGATTTTCATTCAGATGGTGGTGACAAGGAAGAAAGATAGACGTTGTTTCCTTAGCTAAATACATCCACACAGACACTCTGTACAGAGATATATCTAGACCTGTGAGATGGCTGAATGGTGATTAAAGAGGACTGATTTACCTGTTATAGCATTTGATATTTTTTCTTTTTCTTGGACTGCATGGGAAAATAATTATAGAGGATTAATGTTATGGGTAAAATTGAGTGTTTCAGAATTTTGAAATGTTGAGAGAATTGTACTTTTGGAATCTGTCTATTTTGGCAGCCTCAAACAGAATAAATAGACTGTTTTAAGGACCATACTGTCAGTAGAAGTTGTTATATAAGATTGGCAAATGGACATAACTGTATCGTGCCACTGCTATTTGTGAGGCAGCGTGGTGAAATCAGGCGCTCGTCAAAATAATGAAATCAAAGAAATCGGCATTTTTTTGGCAGGTGATCAAGTTTTTTTTAATTTTCTTTTTTTGGGGGGCTTAACGCCTTTTATGTCCATTTGAAAACACATTATTTTTTGTGTTTATTTTACTGGAAAAACATTGATTAAAGGCACACAAAAAAGTAAATTTTTAGTTTCCAAGGACTTTCAGGCTATGGAAGTTACCAAACTTTGGCAGCCATTTTCTCATTAATTTTATTTGTGAAATCAGGCGACACTAACCTCCTTCAGTCGCAAATATTTCGACTTCTATCCAAGATAGATGGATATTTTTTTCACCAAAAGGAAGGCAAATGAACAGGCTAAATTGACCAACACCTGATTCCATCGCGTCACGACTCATTTTCTGCTTCATTTCTATTCTCCTATTGGTATTCTCTTCATGTCTGGAGAAAATTAAAGGTTGGTTGTTGTTTTTCAGAAAACTGAACAAAATAATGAGATGTACAGTAATCTAGACATTCATTGTGCGGAGCCTGTGAGAACAGAAATTAAATGAAATGTAGAGCTAACAAAAGTTGTGTTTTTGGAGTCCTAGTAATGCGTAATTATCATCTTTCTCCCCAGGTTATCGTCTGTCAGAAAAATTTTACGACATCCTCATCAGAAAGTTTGACAGGCAGGGAAGAGGGACCGTGGCCTTTGATGACTTTGTTCAGTGCGCTGTTGTTTTGCAGGTAGGACATGAGATGTTCTAGACGAAGACCTGTTCTTATTGTTTCTGTTTTCTATTCAACTTGTCTCGAAACATAAAATATGCAGCGTTAGAGTTAATCCCGACTGTTGAAACTGCTTAGGCATGGCCATTTGTTTTACCAACAGGATTTCCCCTCTGTATGAGATAAAAGATAGATTGTGTGCTTTAAGCGATAGGCGTGTTTTTATTTTTAATGCGGAAAGAAAGTATTTAGTCGGATTTATTCAGAATTTCTTTCACACCCATAAACTCGCTGAGCCCAAGTGCTAAACAAAATGTGGATCAGGATTTCACATTTCTTTCAAGGCAACTTTCCAATAATGCTATACAATTTTTGCTGGAAGCTTTAATTTAGTGATAATTTTTCTATCCAGAAACGAAAAATGGCAGAAATGACTTTTGAATTTTGCCCAGGTGACAGCCAAAACCTGCTCTTGACCACCAAGGGTCAGATGTTTTAATATGTGCAACTTGCACATGGGGCCTCTGAGATTATTAGACTTATGCGAGAAGGATAGGTGTTCGATCTTACCCAGCCTAAAAAAAGGTGTGTGGCTGAGAGACAGCAGTAAAAAAGGAGCCAGGAGTAGCAGTAGAAAGAGTTAGGAGTAAAGGAGAGAGGAGACCATAAAAGGTTGGGATGAGGGTGCGTTGGGGTTTAAGAAAGTAGCGATGGGGTGGGGGAGAACGTGGAGACAAACGCAGATGACAGAACAGGACTAGAGAACAGGAAAGGTGGTAAAAGTAGAAAATGTTAGAGAAGAAAATTTTTCAGTGCCGTCAGGTTTCGAACCTGGGACCTTTTGAATGAGAGGTGAAAACCTTACCTCTAGACCACGAGAGCCCCCACAAGATTACCAATTAAAATTTTTTTTAATTTTACCTTTATTCCTATTATTTCTGTGTGTTTTTCAGACCTTGACAAGCTCCTTCAGAGCCTACGACACAGATCAAGATGGCTGGATTCAGATTTCCTATGAGCAGTTCCTCACACTTGTTTTTAGTCTGAGGAGTTAATTTCGTGTATTTCTATAGACATTTGTCCAACTCTTAAGCAAATTAAGATATGAAGGATTGCTTAAATCTTTGTCATCTTCCAACATTTTTTCCTTCTGAGTGCTGAACAATAATGGGCCGTTACTAAATATTTTAGTGACTCATATTGTCTTATGAAATTTCTTTCGTTTTGTTGAAATATTGTGTCGAATACTATGTGATATACAACAAGATGACCTGTCTTTTTGAGATATTATCTGTGAGTGTTGTGCTCTTGAAAGTGGATTTTCTTTGAATGGAATACAAGTGAGAGAGTTATGAGCAAATCCTAGATACTCTCGACTGTTTTTATGTTTATGGTAATTATTAATGTACCTTATATTTAAAAAGTGTTCTTTGACTGTTGTTTCTACCTGTTCTCAAAATCCCTGTCCACTTTATATATTGTCATACTGCACCTTTCTTTAAAAGAAATATGTCAACCTCCACATTACTCAAATATTTTATATAAAAGCCGAGTATTTGTAGTCAGGTTTTTTAGTGTACTGGTCCAGGAATCTGTAAGATGAAAGTTAGATATAATGAAGATGTTCTGTGCGTATATTAGAAGAAAAACTTGCCCCATTCATTCTGTAAATGATCATAAAAATATGATAAAGAAACAAAAAGGCCTGTTTGATGGATAAATGATACCTTTTCAAAGAGCCGTTGAACGCTTAACAATTCTGCTTACGGAGTATTAATGCAGGGACTAGTGCAGGAAAATTTGAGTTGGAAGCTGTTTTGAACTTTTAAAAATATTTATTTTAATAGTCAAGTCAGAGTACCAAAGAGTGAAGATGGAGATTGAAGACTCCTTAAAAGATGAATGTCATGCTCAATACGTTTGTTTTCTTCTCCTTGATACTTCCACTGTGTAACCCTACATTGTTGGAGTATCATCATTTTTATTTTTATGATTTGAACGTATATTGAAGTGTATTTTTGTAGTCCTTCGTCAGACTCGTGTCAATCTAAAGTAGAAGCAAGTAGCAAAATGTCTTATTTTGTTTAGTACAATGTTTTGCGCTCAGTGTTGTCTGTTTAAGGTACATCGTCATTATGATAGGGCACGCTGTGTTTAAATCATGCTTCGACCAGTTCTTGACATTTTGGTTTATTCTCTTTTTTCAACGACTTCACTGCTCTCTTTAGAAAATGGTCCATTGTTTTCACTCTTATCCATCTGTTTGCACCTCACAATTTGTTTAAAATGCAAAATGAGAAATGGCTGTTAAACATAACTCTTTGTCATACTAATCTCACTTCTTTGATGCTTTTCCTCTGCTTACTTACAATGGTTATTTAGCTGAAACACCATGAGTATATATTGATCACACATTAATATTCAGATGGTTATGGACAGCAGTTTTTTCATGTGTAGTATTGAAAACACTTTAAACACTATACTTTTTGCGCACATTAAAATTCAACTGAAATACTGAGAAACGTCCTTGTTCTTCAACTGTTAACTCTACTAAAGGGACCTTGAATACATAATAATTAACATTTGTTATTCCAACTAGGTTTTCATATATGATATACATATATATGCCATCTGATCCATCCATCGTGAATGACTTGAGGAATAAATCTCGTAAAGAAGAGGAAATGTGTATAATTTTTTTTTAAGTGAACAGTTTTTGTGTGCATATTATCATTTGAAGGAGTTAATGTATTGAAAATGTGCTAGTTCCTCCTTGAGGATGTGAAATAGGTTTGTTTGTACTCCAAAGTTTTAGTCAAGCTTGTTGTTTAACTACAAAGAAAGTGTTTGGTAGAAAAACAGTGTCACAAGATACAGAAAGTAGAAATAGAAATATTCTCCTGTATAACCGATTTGGATATAAGCCATTTGCATGATCCCAAAAAATATTGGATACCATCAAAGTTCTGTCATAATCTTTTAGAAGTTGTTTTGTATTTTTATATACTTCAGTGTTCACGTCCTTTTTTAAAGTTAAAGTAGATTTAGTGTGAAATGCCAGCATCTGTGAGGAGTTCTGCCGTTGCATGCAAAAAGACTCGTTTTGATTCCCAAGTGAGGAGAAATTTTGTCAAGTATCTTCGGTCTTCCTACTGAGAATAATCCCTCTCAGGCTGGGTTGAAGCCTACCTCCTAAATGATCTAAAGTGTATCAATGGGGGCTTGAAAATTAAAAACATCTACATTTTTGTGGTCTGGGTTTTGGTGTGAAATAATTCAAATATCATCTCTCATCATGTTTTGTCATACAATTTCTTTTTTAAGCTTATTATTACATTATAATTATATGCTTTTGGTAAATATGGAGCTGTATAATAAATACAATTCTTTAAGTTTCATTCTTGTGCTTTTTTTCATGAGATGATATAAATGTTATCCTTTCCTTTGGTGGCAGTTTTATCGGAAAAGGTCCAAGCTGTGGTCTTCAAATTCAGCGAGTTGGGTTTTTTTTCTATCTGAAGGCAAAATAATGTAGGCTTTTTGCAGTGTCGCAGTGGGCTAGTCGAAAACTTTGTGTGCATGTGAGATAACATGGTTCATGAGTAACTAAACCGGTTTAGCTAATCCACCTTCACCATTTCAGAACCAGTAGTAGCTGGACTCACTTTAGATTAAACCGAATATCCTTGATTTGTCACCACTTTTCCCTTTTTTATAGAGACAGATTGAAAAACTGAAACGTCTCCTTTACCAACATGTCTGGACATTCACTTCAGAACATTTTTAGATTGTTTGTTATGTCATGTCTTACACCGAAGAGGACATAGATTTCTTTGAAAGTGGGACACGTTCATTGATTGGGATACTGGACGAGGAAGACAAATTTTGACTCTGATTAGTCTGATTGGAATCGAACTGAGGACTTCTTATTTTTACTCTAACTTGTCGCCAAGTTTTTTACCAGCTTCACCTGTTTCAAAGTGATCCTATTTCAAGATTGCCTGCCTCTTGTCAAAGGTGAATATAAGAATCATGAGGTTGAAAATGCTTGAAATAGTTCCACAGTATGTGGTGACTGTGAGCAAGATTTATATATTGTGAGGCAGTGTAGTGAAATGAGGTGCTCGTCAAAATAACAAAATTGGAGATAAGGGCATTTTTCAACCAGTTTGGAAATTTATATCAAATTATTTTTTTGGCTCAACCTCTTTTTATAATCCATATATAAAAAACATTTCCATGTGAATTTTACTGAAAAACATTGATTAAAGGCACAAAATATGTCATTTTTCAGTTTTCAAAGACTCTCTACATATTGGAGTTACCAAACTTTGGCAGCCATTTTCTCGTTAATGTCACCATTGAAACCAGGTGACCTAGCTTCTTTCAATCGTAAATATCTTGAGTTCTATTAAAAATAAATGGATATATTTATTTCATTAGAAGCAAATAAAATAAATCAGCTTTTAGATGATAGCAATAACTCCACATGCCCAAAAGTTGACGAGCACCCGATTTCACCGCGTCATGACACATTCATTTTCTTGCCAGCACGAACTTTTCCTTTCCTAAAGTCTATGCAGATATCCTGTGCACAAAAAAAAAAATGTCCATATAAAAAAAAAACACCCAGAAAATTCTGTTTGACAGAAACATCAGATTTATTTTGTGAGCAATTTATCATTTCAACTCAAGAAAACCTTGTTTCCAGCAAAACTATACAAAGACATTTTCACTTCCAACAATGTTGTATAAATTAATGAAAGGAAAGATAAAAAGATATCTATAAAAATTGTTCATAGGTGGAGTAGGAGCTGACAATATTATAAATGAAAGGACTTGACAGCAATAAACAGGACGCTGTTACTGTTAAAATTGTAGGTTTTCATTTCAAGTATGATTTTAGTAATACGTAATACATCATAGTGAGGATATTACATTGGCAACTGGTAATGATATAAAGCTCAATTGAAAAGACTTTGCTGCACTTCAAAGATCAGGATTTTATTTTTACTATGAGTTTCTGAACCTTTAGTCTTTCTTCTCTAACTGATCTTGTGAACTGCGTGGAGCTACATTTAAAAAATGTGATCACAATACTTCTCAATGAGCAAAATTTATGAAATTCTTTTGAAGGAAAAAAGAATCAGTTTCAACGCAGCTATCATCAGAGCAACAAAAAAAAGTGTTGACTTCATATGTGTTAAAACTACAGGGGGAAAAAAAATTCAAAATCTATATGGTTTGGGCCGGTAGTCCTCAAAGAGGCTTTGTATTATTATGTCGTTTTGAAAGGTGAGCAGAAACAAATAAAAACAAAGATTTGAACAACATTAACCCCATGACATACCCCTAACACAGTAAAATTCAGGTTAATTCAAGTACATTATTATGTACATGGTAAACATACCTTACTATACAACTTCCAAGTTTAAAACAGTGTGTTCCTGGTACAATCACGAGCACACACACACACACTCATGCACGCACATACACACACACACGCTCATAGTTTTCATGGACCGGTGTGCAAGAGTGACAATGAACAAGGATAAAAAGTGAGCTCAAGTGTCGGAAAATGCTGTTTTGGCTCGCACGTGTCCACCAAACCAGAAACGGACTGACCGCATGACATCTGCCTCTCAGGAAATTGCTAGTTGAAATTGAGCATCTGTTTTTACATTAGCAGTCGGTGAAGATTCCGCTTGGATGTGTTCATCAACACCACGCAACACCTGCCGCCAAAAGACATTGGTGTGTGCCACTGCTAAAAAAAGGTCTATTTTCACTTTGGATAAAAAAAAGCTTGTCATATTCACAATAGGCACCTCAAAATTAGCAAAGTCTATGTGCACGTTCATTGATCGCCTGACTATTAATAGACCGATATTAAAAAATGACTGTGTTGTAGGAGCTGCCCATACATTAGTGGACACACTTGCCGGAGATGAATAGGCCGAGTTGCCTTTTCCTAACAAAAAAATTGGGTAATTTCTGCTGTGGTGGACACACGGCCTAAGGAACTTGACAATAGAAAAAGTAAGAGCTCAAAGACTGAAGACTATTAGTCAGAAAAGGATATGGTAGACCAAAAGAAGCAGATCAGCAAAAATTGTGATTGGGGTTTATCTATCTAGAAAAATGGAATCGCTTCCTCTTCTGACAAGATTAAAGAATGAGGGGAGGGGAGATATCGATGGAGACAGGCCATGAAGTTTAGAGAATAGTGCATAAAAGACTGGAGGACAATTGACATCAACATTTAAATTAATTAAATATCTCAGTGAGATAAAAATCCCATCGACAGTCAACTGGACCAAGAACAACTTCATTCAAATAGCAATGCCATTTTGTACAAATCAAACAAAATTCAGATAAAAAGGACAAGAACACAAAAAAAATCTACCTGCAATGCTTTACAACCAGTTAGAATTAGAATTCTCAAAACGAGTATCGGATACAAGAAACACATTTATCCTGTCTTACCTTTTCGCATACAAAAATTTCCCTCCAACTCCAATCACCCAAAACTTTGTTCTTCATTTGATGACCTTTAACACCTCAGAATAAGTTCCTCACATCAATCCACGCTCTCGTGGCCTAGAGGTTAAGGTGTTGGCCTCTCATTCAAAGGTCCCGGGTTCGATTCCGGGTAGCGACCAAAAAATTTTCTTCTCTAAAATTGTCTCCTTTCACCTCCTTTCCTGCTCTCTACTAACAATGTTCTGTTGTCTGCCCCCACCCCCTCACCTCCTTTGCCCCCTCATCTGGGCTCCTGACTCTTTCTGCAGCCTTTCTACTGCTACTCCTTGTCTCCTCCTTACTGCTGTCTTTCTGCCACACCCCTGATCTTCTGGTAGGAAAGATCTACACCTAGCCTTCTCGGACAAGGGCGAAAAATTTCGGAGGGCCCGTGTGCAAGTTGCGCACGTTAAAGATCCCTTGGTGGTCTAAAATCGATAAGAGTAGGCTTCGGCCGCCACCCGGGCAAAATTCAAAATTTCCTACCAACTGAAAATATTAGGTGTGTCCCGCGCGCTCATATGACCTATGCAGTTGCGAGCGCCGTAAAACACTTTACAAAAACAAAACAAAAAACCAATCCACATTTAACAGACCTCTCGCCCTGACAAAGCTTTAATACTACTATACTCTAACCTTTCTTTTAGACTTTCATCTATCACTTTTTCATTGACTAGCTCAAGTGTACACTTTCAGTTTCAGCATTTTGATGTTCACGAAGCAACAATGTTCATTTTGACATAGAAGTACAAAATACAAATTTTTTAATGATCCAAACAGTGTAAGGCACTTGTTCTGTGAAAACTCATCACATTTCTTTGAGCAATGTGAAGGGACTGTTGTAACAAACCTGTTACTTGCTTATTACATGTAGCGAAATGAAACATGTCTCAAGTACTAGCTAGTCTCGCAGAACACAACCTACTACACTACAACCACACTACCTCGTAGAATCGGGCAACAAATTCACATGATTTTTTTTTAAATTGCGATCCCCCATAGCAGTGATGTTGAAATTCACATTTACACCCATCTTGCATAAGTTACACACAAGCCACAAACGCTCTCCCAAACTCTAAGTAACTTTAGTTTCGGCTCAATGGTCTTTGAAGTCCTCTCGTTCTTTGAACTGGTGGTCAACTGTTCTGGACATAGCTTCCAAGTATTCCTCAAGCGTCACTGGGCTACCCTGGAAAAGAAAACCCAGAAATGCAATGATGGAAATTTCTCTGGGGCTATCAACTGGCTCGAACGAAAAAGTTTACTGAATTGAAATGGCACCAATGCCAGCAAAATGAGATTTGGCAAAATGTTCGACCCATCCCCTCCATTTATGTTGAAGTCAATAAAAGTATGTTCCTGAAAGTAAATTTTCAAAGTGGCTGTATAACAAAGTTATTTGTTCCATATATGAAAGACCTATGTTTTCTGAGAATTTTGGTACCATTCTTTTACCTCTCAGTCAATATTAAAGAAAATAGCTGTTTGGAAATTATAATCAAATTCCGCGAATTTCACTAATAATTGGCTGCAACCCCATGTTTGACAGATAATAAAACATCTACACACTAACAGAGTAATGTTTACAATAACATAGATATGGAGCCTTTTTTCCCCCAGATTGATATCATTGTTAATCAGTATTTTGTTGCCTTTTATACAGGCAGATTTGTCATTATTTCGACAAAAACACATAGCCCTGTCCCTGCCAGTGTCGTACTGCTCCCCACAACCAGCGGTTCAGCTCTGTACAGTTGAGTACAGAGTGCTCACCTTGTTCGAGTCATGTATACTTTTGGAGTTGTGCAGAACGATCGATGCAAAATAATCCCTAGCCTAAGACTTTATTCCAAAATGAACTGATCTTTCCATTTGTGCCATTTTTTATCTGCCATTTTGCATATTTTGAGTTAAAAAATCATCTTTGTAAACTTTATCGCTATTTTAAAAGGCCTGCAATTTAAAGTTAAACCCCAAAAGTCAAAAATACACCACCAGAATGATCATCTGTTCTTCTGTAGAAAACTAACTGATTTAAGGGGAAGTTTTCTTCCCAAGCTTCCCCACACATCTAATTGCCTTTACTCAAGACAACAATTAGAACAGACATGCAGCTATTACCAATTGGCATCATGCAGAAGAGTTAACGCTCAGATGCAACTGGATCGCTAACAACAACATATCAGTACATCTCGGGAGTGGGGGTAGGGAGATGATGCCTAGCGCGCGAGACACTCACGTCTGTGAGGCACCGTACTGCATTGACGACTACACTGTGTAGGCCCTACATGACCTACTAAAGCCTGGTGTGTCGATATAGGCTACTTGGCGGGTACACGGACTTAATGAAGAACTAATACGTTGACCGTTAGCATGGCTTTTTCCCCCATTTATGTTCATGGGCTTCACTAGGTACCCAGGAAGCATGTAGATAAAGCAGAGTGGGCAGAAATTGTTTAGTGAAGACACTGAAGGAAAAATTTCGTAATTGGAAAATATGTCGATATGTCAAAATGTTGATAAATCGGATGTCAATATAAGTGGATAATACTGTACAAACATTTTACACCTTTTGAAAGAGGAAAAGCTGATCTTATTGTGACTGAGCAAAGAATCAGAAGGATTGGCTAATGCACCACGTTTACGCTACATAATAAAAGAAACGAGCTTGGTGATGCAAACTAAAAGCATTTACGAGTACAAATGAAGCTCTGAGAAATTTAGAAAAATAAACAAAATTTTTTTATTCAATTTTTTTTAAAGACTGTAAATCCCCTGTCAACATCATACCCCCCCCCCCCCCCCCTAAAAAAACAAAACAAAGAAAAACTACATCAAACTTAGTACTCCCACAATCAGTATTACTCAATATACATACTCTTAAAAACAGTGCATGGGCCATAAAAGGAAGCTTCCTCAAAGTACGGCCGCTCAATCCTTGACTCTTACTGTAATAAGAAAATAAAAGGAAAGAAAGTTTAAAAAATATTTCAAGCAGTACAGTTCAATGCAGAGCATAGAATAAATTTTCATGCAAACATTGGAAAGCACAAGCAGTTGAGGAAGACTAAAAAATAAATTCGAATATGCACAAAAAAGTTGAGAAATAATACATAGGCAATTAAAAATACTGAAAAGTGAAAAGAACACTACTTTAGAATTTACAATATATGTGTCTGCATAATCTTAGTAGTTTGAATAACAATAAGTTGATGAATAAAGAAAGAATAAAATTTTAAAAATAGAGTGAATACATGTAAAAATTTTCGACAAACATGAACACTAAAATGCCATTCACATTACCAAATACATCACACATACTCATGGAAGGAAGCTAAATAACCAAAGACAGTTTCATTTTTTTTACTACATCTATAAACCTATACACAGTTTTTTTAAATGTGATAGGTATATTAGTTTTCTTAAGTTTTGAATTTTTGAAAATAAGAAATGTGTGTCATCGTGATGCCAGGCATTTGTCAGAATGGTGAAAGATTTAAAAGCTGCATTTTTTTCTGCTTGTTGGGAAGTTTTTACTCAATTTCTTTCTTCTTTTTCAGCTCAACACCTTTTAAGTTCATAAAAAAAAACAAATCTATGTTTGTGTTCACAGAAAAACATTGGTCAAAGGTTGAAGAAATGAAAATTTACAATATTTTTAAGGACACTCAAGCTTTGAGTGTCTAAACTTTGGTGGCCATTTTTCACTAATTTTACTTCTCTAGGTCTATTCAAGATTAATATTTTAAAAATCTAAAGCAAGACAACTGAACAAGCTTTAAGATTATACCAATACGTCTATATGCCCAAAAACAAATGAGCACCTGTGTCCTCCATATCATGATGAAAATATTGAAAGCTCTTCAAATCTTTCTGTACAGTGTATGCTACACAGTAATAGGTCTGTGATTGTTGCCATGACCTTAATGTCTTTTAACAGTTATGGGGCTCCTTCCTGAAAGTGAGCTTGGTATTATCATTACTAATCTCTTCCTCTTATGAAGAAGATAAAAAGTAAAAAGGATTTCTTTGCTGGGTATAAGCCAGGTACCCGCCTAACCATCTAAAAAGTGTCCAGGAACGGAGACCAAGCACTGGAGGACCACAAGACAAAAGAGAAACCTGGCAATGTTGTACAGCTTCAAGCTGTAGACAGTGGCACTGTTTTCAATAAAGCGGGTGACCTCCAGAGCTCGAATGTCAAGGAGTTGATGAGTAGGGCTGATCACACCACGCTGTCGAGACAGAGGAAGATGGATCAGAAAAATAACTATAAAAAAACAAACAGCAATTTTTTGTTGGCAAAGTAAAGAGAAGCTCATCACTACTATAACAGAAATATAAAATTGGAAAGAAAAAGGAAGAGAAAAAGGCCAAAACAAAAGAGAGATAACCAAGAGGTAAGATAAGATAAGATAAATCTTTATTGTTTAGATGTTGGCACACTGGTTTGGGGTTTTAACATACACACACACACAGAGACACACACACACACACACACACACACACATGCATGCATGCCCGAACCCTCACACATCCTCTTTCTCTCTTCTACACACATCTGTACTCTTACACATATTATATTAATAATATACTTTCACTCAAAAACAGACTAACAATCACACCCATAATATAAATGTAAAATTATCGTTAACGATAATAGTGTTAAGCTAGAGATACATAATCAGTACTCTGATAGCAACCAGATGATATTTTGATTATACAGTGAGTCTGCTTACTGTAATGGATATCGTGTTCTTGGAAAAGACACTTAACATAAATTTTCCTCACTTCACTCAGGTGGGAATGGGTATCCGTCCATCACTGTATGCTTACCAGGAAGTTGAGGTTGTTTCAGAATGCTCTCAGGTCTGCTGGGGTAATATTATAGATTGTGAAGCGTATAGAGCTTGTTGTTGATTGGGGATTTACGCTATACAAATGCTATCTATTATTATTATTATTAAAAGAAGATGGACCTGACCACATCTCAACATCCATCAAACGCCTGTTAATCGTAGTTTTACCTTAGTGAGTTCCTTCATACAGGACAAATAGATGGAGTAAATCGCTCTAGTGGAAGGAGGCCCGATGTACTGTTTGATATCTGCACGATCAACAAAGGCGAGATCTATTGCCCCAGTTATGTTGGATGTTGTCAGTATGAGGACATTGGGGTACCTGAAACAACAAAAAAACACAATAAAATTGAGAAAAATAACGAGACATTGGGACTTCCTGAGTCATTACAGCAGAGAGATTCAGAGAAGAAGAGTGCTTGTGGAAGTATTTAGTTCTTTTTTTTTTAAACCTCCCTGAATAAATAAAACTTACAACATTTCAAGGACATATCTGCATTACTGCACTTTTTAATCTGATCTTGAAAAATAGAAGATTTCAAGGAACTTTAACAATTGAGCTGTCAAACTTTCTAAAATAACAAAATGAACTGTGGGAGCTAAATTAGTTTCTAATTTGACAGATAAAAACATACAAAATTTAAAGAAGCTTTGCCAACCCCATATGTACATAGCAGGAGAAGCTGTGCTGGCCATCAGAAGGAACTTAGCAGGACAGCCAAGTATATAGCAGATACCTGTCCTCAAGTGTGATGAGATCAAGAAGAAACAAAATTACTGACCAAAACTGCTAACTGAACCATCAACATCAGTTTCAGTTTGATCCTGAAAAACATAATTGTGCAAGGATCCAAGACAAATAGTAGTAACAGATTGAAATATCAAAAGGAAATATTGACATTATTTGTCATTTTTAATTTGATAGAGAATAAAGCAAGATTTCAAAGAAATGTTACAATAAAGTTACTGGCTGAAATAACAGTATGGCTATTACTGTACTTTTTTATTTGATCCAGTTGCGTAAGAAGAGCATTCACGACTCTAATGGCGTCTGAAGGCTCGACGCCATTCATGGAGCTTTTCCTGGCTGCAGACAAACTTTCCACCTGAAAAATAGAAACACACCAGCACCATTAGATGGTAGATTACAAAATGACACTAAGCTAAGATATAAAAGTCCAACTGCACAGAATATAAAAAAACTACTGAAGCAGCAAGAGACCTAATAATATGAGAAAATCCAGAAAAGCCTTAACACAAAAGATTTACATTTGACATTACTGGCAAAACCCCTTCTCCAACACACAGGCACACAATGAGCCACAAAAATTTTGCCCAAAAAGTCAAGTGAAAATTTATTGTGTTGAGGCTTTTCAGCAACCTTTTCTGGGTTTCTTTTCACTGAACATGCGCACCCAAGACAAAACACAAGTACTGAATCTTTCCTATCTATTGTATGATTTTTTTTATTCACAGGTGATGTTTATTTTTCACTGCGGTCAACCTGCAGACTTATATTATCACATTTTTTTAAAGAGTTGAAATCAGTAATAGAATATGAGTGTACAGTGAACTTTCTTCTTTGTGTTCCTTTGCTAGATCTCACAGGCTATCAACTGCTGGTTCTTCAAACTGTAGTGCAACTGATATTTACAGATGACACTGCATTTCCTACTTCGTAGGGTCCCTTGCCTTCATCAGCCACACTGTGATTTTGAAGGTATTCTGTATTTTACTTTATACTGATTAAAGTATTCTTAGCTTTGATAGGAATGGATTGTGCATTTTACTCAGATGGAAACCGAAGCCTACCCTTATTGATTTTAGGATCACAAAGGGATCTTTTAGTATGCAACTTGCACACAAGATCTCCAAGATATTTAACCCTTATCTGAGAAGGCTAGACATTCGTTCTTCCCTACCCTAAAATCAGTGGTGTAACTGAAAGACAGTGGTAAAAAGGAGTCAGAGGTAGCAGTTGAACAGTCAGGGGCAGGGGAAAAGGGGGGAAGAGATGAAAGCAGATGACAGAACAGGACTAGAGTACAAAATTTTTTTGTCACCAGCAGGTCTCAATCCAGGGATCTTTTGACTGAGAGGCGAACACCACAGCTCTACACCATGAGAGTCACACAGTGAGTGTACAGTGAATGAAATGCTCTATTAAAAAGAAGTGGTTAAGACTCAGGATTTCCATACTCTAGGGTAGACAAACTCACTTCATCAATGAGGATGCAGACTAGAGCTTTCGGGTCATCCATCAGCTCTTGGATCCTCTGAAACATCTTCATGACCAGCTTACCACTCTGAAGACAAAGGAAGATAAGATAAGATAAGATAAGATAAATCTGTATTGTCCAGATCCATATACACATACATTAATACCAACGCACACACACACACACACACAAACATGCACACACAAGCAGGCTTACAGTCACATGCATAAATAAATTAACATTAATATGAGCAATATTAAGTTAAGCTAGATACATACTCAGTATTCTGATATTAACTCAACGTCATTCTGTTGCATGCTCTACGGTCATAAGAAAACTTTTAACAAGATGGTTAAGATGGAAGAATTTTGATGGATGATGGCAAAAATGACCTTCTGTATTTTTCTTCGTTACAGATCAGAAGCCTAGGTCTTTTACTTCTCACTGATATTTTTATTTGAGGGAACAAGGGATGTTTATTGTCCAAAAAGATGGAACGAATTTTTTAGTGTAAGCTGTAATGTACAATTCATCCAAGGAAAGGAATGTAGATGTTGAAATTTTGCATGCTTTCCGCATTAATCGATTTAATTTTTCTTTATCTTGTTGTCTTGGGTTCCCGGCCCAAACGGAAATTGATAATTACAAGTATACTGAAGCATCCTCACCTTACCAAATCGAACTTATACAGGAATATGATTACATTGTGAGATCTTCACAATGAGCTTATACCACTTTCAGTTTCGTTTCAGTAAGTGTTTTTAGGCACTTGTGATGTGGGGGTGAACTCTTTGTTTTAGCCATATAGAAAGGACAATTTTTTTTATTATTATTAATATGGCCCAGTGCTCTTTCTTTCTTTGTCACGTGCTAAAAATAAAAAGAGGGAGCAGCCTACCTCGGAGAACCACTTAGAGAAAAGACTGTGGCTGTTAATCTCTACCAACTGGCCATGACTGTAGTGGTCGGAGAAGCGGATACACAGCTTCTGGGCCAGGGCTTTGCACAGCGATGTCTTGCCTGTGCCAGGTGGTCCTGCCAGAGGTCAGTGGGAAAAGTTGTCTCGGAAATGAATCTAATTCTTTTGAAAAATAAATGGCAATAAATATCTTCCAAGACTGGGGTTCCCACCTTGTCTCAAGCATGTACACATTAAACAAAGAAATGCAGAATTGTAGAAAGGGATAAGCTCCGAAGTTGTTAGTGGGGAAAAAATAAATGGAACTACAGAATAATTGAAGAAAAATGTTGCAAACCTTTAAAGTTTGGGGAACAAACATTAAAAAAACACTTGGAGTGAGTATGAGACAATTTTCCACGCAAACACTTTTTCACTTTAGTTTGAGTGAAGACAAGCATATAGATACAAAAGGGGTCTTTAAATGTTGGAAATAATCAAGACAACCACAAAGAAGTAGCCTGGTATAGAAGACGATCCCACCAGTGAAGCCATACAACCATCCGAAAACATTTTTTTAGTTTTAGTAAGTGTTTTATGGCATTTGAAACACAATAAGGTCATATAAGTACCGAAGATTAGTTTTAGTAGATGTTTCATGGCACTCGCAACTGCATACGGTCATATGAGCACTAGAAGATTAGAAGTGTTACAAGAGAGTAACAAATACAAAAAAGAAGGAGGGGAGATAAGGACGATAGATGTTTGATAGGAAAGAAGAAGCAAACCCCACCCACCAGAGCACCCGCCAACCACCCACTCAAACATTTTTGCAGAAAAGTGAAATACTTTTTTTTAAAATATTATTGTAGAAACACAAAAACAATAATAAAATGACATTTATAAAGCGCTCAACCCTGAGTAAAGTACACAGGCTCTGAGAGCTTTACAATACAATACAATGTAGGCTACAACAGTAACATAACACGTGTTCTGACCTTACCAAATGAAAATCACCCAAAACATTAATCTTATTAATTTAAAAACAGAAATGACTTCAGCTGACATTTGAACGAATCAAAAGATTTTATCTCTCTTAAAGTACTTGGCAAAGCATTCCAGCTCTTGGGTCCTTGATATTCAAATGCCCTTTCACCCATTGTTCTAAGTATCATAGATGGTAAAAGAAATTTCTTTTTGTCAGCTGATGACTTTAAACTGCGAGTTGGAATGTACAGTCTCAACATATTCGATAAATATGATGGCGCATTATCATTCAAGCATTTGTGACATAGGGTGGCCAACTTGTACACAATTCTTTTCTCAGCAGGAAGCCAATGCAATGTCTGCAAAAGAGGCATAGCAGAGTCTCGGTTTTTTTTCCGTAAAACTAAACGTGCCGTTTAACAAACATTGGCATCCCTGACTCAGATTTTCAAAAGAAAAGGCCCAATCTTGAGTCTTTCAAGCTGTACAAATCCTCACCGTGCAAAAGGACAACTCTGTTCCATGAGATGATGTTGCTGTCTACATTCTTGTCTGAGAAGAGTAACGTTGTACTGGCATAGTTTAATAACTGAAAAAATAATAGAGGATGTTGAGAAAGAAGGCGAGAAAAAAGGTCAGACGATACTGGATGAAAACGTACTGAAAAAAGCTAAAACATGCCTCAGAATACACATGCACCAAAACATTAGCATCATTCTTTTTTCTCTTTGTTTAAGAAAACTTCTATTGGCATTCAAATCAATTTTGTACAGGCGAAAGGACACACAGAAATAAAGGCAGGACAGAGAAAAGTTAGATCTACCTGTGATGCTTTTACAACCACCACAAAATAAGTCACTAGATAAAACAGTAAACTCGCCTCTGCTGGTGGGGGGACCCTATGGGGGAGTAAAGAATACACCTGCCGTGATACTGCATGTCGTAAAAGATGACTAAAGGTGCATAGGTCTCGTCTCCCGAAAAATACCAGTTTGCGGAGGGCCAACTACCCGACCCAGTAAAAACAGAGTTACAGAAATATGGACAAACAGTTATTTATTTTTCGATCTTGGGAGACGGAGGAGCTTCTGCATCAGCAAGAACAATGAAGGACAGTGGACGAAGACAAGTCTCTCCGGATTGCGTCGTGGAATACTCACACCATGTATGCAGCAGGAAAGAGTTCTCAAGTATCACAAGAGATAAAGACATACACTGATACAGGCTGCACATACTAGGAGTCAGCGAAACACACTGGATACAGCCTGGACAGAAACAGCTAAGCTCGGGGGAACAAATATTGTTATCACAGAAATTGAGGTACAAAAAAGTGGGAAGAACGGAATAAAATCAAGAGGCTAGCCAGGGATAGAGAAAGGTGGAAAGCGTTTATTCGTGGCCTATACCCTCGTGCTGCGTGAGAAAGGCAATGATGATGATGATAATAGTAAACTAACCCGAGTCTTGATTGGTTCATCATACACCAAACTTTCCCACATGCCCTGGAAGTCGGAGGAAGGCAACAGCCAATGATTAGCTGCTATTAAATTTTCCTCATCCAGTTCCTCCGCACCAGCACCATCTGTATGAACTTGGTAAATGTGAATTTGAAGCTCACAAGAGGTCAGATCAATCACCTAAGCAGAAGACAAAATAAAGGAGTGAATTCTTGATAAAATTTTTGGGTTTTTAAAGTTTTAGTAGAGGTTTTACGGTGCTAGCAACTGCATAAGGTGATATGACCGCCAGAAGATTAGAGGTGTTACAAGAGAGTAACAAACATAAAAAAGAAGGAGAGATAAGGATGATAGACGTTTCATAGGAAAGAAGAAGCAAACTACATCAGAGCACCCGCCAACCACCCACAAGTTTTAGTTAAGTTCGCAACATTATTACGGCCTTTTCCTGATTACAAATATAAAAGGACAATCACCAAAATGCCAGTGTGGAGAGGCGGACCAAACTGTTGAACACATCCTTCAGCACTGCAAGACACACAGGGCCCTGAGACAGGAAACGTGGCCAACCCCACTGACGCTAAAGAGAAGCTATACGGGCAGACAGATGAACTGAGCAGGACGGCCCAATTTATGACAGATACTAAACTTCAAGTGTGATGCGATCGAAAAGAAGAAGATTGTAGAAGATTTGTACAGAAATGCTACTAGATAAGAGTGCAGTGAGAGAGGGAGAAAGAGAGAGAGAGAGAGAGAGAGAGAGAGAGAGAGACAGACAGACAGACAGAGAGAGAGAGACAGACAGACAGACAGACAGACAGAGAGAGAGAGAGAGAGAGAGAGAGAGAGAGAGAGAGAGAGAGAGAGAGAAAGAGAGACAGACAGACAGACAAAGAGAGACAGACAGAGATAGAGAAAAAGAGAGAGAGGGGGGGGGAGGGAGAGAGAGAGAGACAGACAGACATACAGACAGAGACAGAAAGAAACAGAGACAGATAAAAATGGAAAAAAGGCAAGAAGCTTAAACTGATTGATATACATAAAAAGAAAGATTAGGCCTCCTCTTTGCCCAGTCAAATTGGACATAAAGTATAAAAGCATTTTTCCAATGTGGCTTCATGTGCAGAGTGGAAGGCAATTCTCCATCAGCAGGAACAAATATAGCTAAAACAGTGACGCATGGTCACGATAAAGTTGATGATAAAAATAATTATTATTATCATAATCATTGATTATCATTATAATTATTATTATCATTATCATAAGCAGTCTGCTGCCAGCCCACTATGTGACTAATATCCCTCAGAGACAGTGGAACATCATGTTCTTCTGTAGAAAACTAACTGATTTAAGGGGAAGTTTTCTTCCCAAGCTACCCCACACATCTAACTGCCTCTACTCCTCAAGGCAACAATTAGAACAGACATGCAGCTATTACAGAATGGCATCATGCAGAAGAGTTAAATGCTCAGATGCTACTGGATCGCTAACAACAACAACATCATTATCATAACTGCACTTATGTGTAATAGCATGCGCTGTGGGCTTTACAACTATTATTACCCCACCAATCCTCTAGAAAACTCAGAAACATTATTGGCTTCTCAGGAGGTATACCGCACAAGCAAACCGTAAGCGTTTAAAGGTTAACAAACCCACAAGATCTTTCCCCGTTTATAGCCAGGTAACCATTCCAACTTAGGTAAAGCAAAGAAAATTAAGTATATTAACAGTGTCTTTCCTCAGGACACAATATCAGACCACCTATGGGTCTGAACTGATGACCTTTTGGTCACAAGCTCGACAAGCTAACCTATAGACCACAGATACAACTGTTAATGACTGATAGCAGCAGTATACTGACAAGAGATAAAAGGGTATTGGAAGACACACACATGAATATCTGCCACATCTTTCTTTCTTCAACTTAAGAAAACTTTTAATTTGCATGAAGGTCAAAAAGGAAATAGATGCACATACACATGATATGGTTTACTCTGAAATAGTGTGCATCTCATCTATTGGACACAATAATACATGTATTGCAAATAAAAGATCTCTCTCTGTCATTAGTCGGGAGTCTGAGACAATGCACAAAACGAGTCACATCATATCTGTATTGTAAAATATAAATTTTATATGTATCTAGTCCACACTTGCCATTACATCAAAACAATACAGGTACATAACTAACCTTCTTTTCCACTCCTGGAAGCTCAGAATCTCGCAATGAGACCGATATCACATTTTGTTTCAAGAATTCATCAGGAAATTCTTCAATGGTGAAGTCACCAAAAGCCGTTTTCTTGGCTATTAGCAAAGCTTTGATTTTGTCTTTTAAGATGCAAGCTCGCACGGTGCTGAAAAAAAAAATCCCAGTCATCTGTTAGTGCAGTTTTCATTTATTACTAATACCAGCATCATCTTGTCACTTAATTTTCTCAATATTAAAAGACATTTCTGAAATCTATGGCCTTCTTAAGCTTCTGGACTCGTAGTTTAGAGGTAGCCGGTTCAGTTCCTTACTTCTGAACACCATTCCAGCATTCTCTAGCAACACATGTACCAGACGCTCCATACCAGCAGTGCAAAAACGAGGTGGGCTCACTCTAGCCATGGGGTAACCCGGGAACATGCTAACCTATAGCACTGATTTTTGGGTCAGCCCCCATGTATATAATGTGGTGGAGAAATTGGGCCATTCACTGAAGAAGAAAATGTTTAGATATCTCCAGTGACTGGCAAGTTTTTATTGAAGAAAAAGGATCGGTCGGTAACAGTGTTTTCAGCAGAATCAGAATGAAGATTATACACAGACGTAGACTGCCGCAGATTTATGCATCCGAAGTAGGCGTATACTTATAAATTACACAGCAGAAGAACAACAATAAACTTACAAGCACATTAGATCAACATGAATGCAATGTTCTAAGGCATATTTTTATGGTATGTAAGGGGGGGGGGGGGTAAGGACATGTCCTCTAGGCTCATTGTGCATTGAGTTGATAATTATAATCAAACATTCAAAACCTTTTTTTTCCCTCATTTTTTAATTTTTTTCCCTTTGTAAATATAGATTTGTATACTGTAACTGTTCTAACAGAATGGAGGACAGGTGAATATATATATATATATATATATATATATATCAAAAAGCCATGTTTTTTTGTGGCTTTTTAATTGAAATGTGCATAATTAATTAGTTGTTTGCAATCTAGTTATCTGGGTACTGAGATTACAACTTTAATTTTTTCATATTTGGATCTTTAATGAGTGCAATTTGCACACAGGACCTCTGAGATATTTCGCTCTTATCCGAGAAGGCTAGGTGTAGATTTTACCTACCCTAAGATCAGAGGAGTGGCTGAAAAACAACAGTAAAACAGAGCCAAAGAGTACCAGTAGAAAAGTTGAGCGGCAGAAAGAGTCAAGGGCCCAGAGGAGGGGGCAGAAAGTGGCGATAGTAGAGAGCAGGAAATGAGGTGAAAGGAGAAAGTTTTAGAGAAGAAAATTTTCCGTCCCTGTCAGGTTTCGAACTCAGGACCTAGTGAATGAGAAGCGGACATCGTAACCTCTAGACCATGAGCGCCAAATCTAATATAAAATGTCTTAAGCTATAAAAGGTTTAATAATTTACAACTTGTTTTTGGTTAATGTAAAAATGTTTCCTGTAAAATCTTTTTCCCATCACATTTGTTTGTCTGTCTGTTCAGATACAGTGACACGATAATGGTCATTTAAAGCAGGGACTAATAAGAGACAGATAAATACAACAGAGGAAAGAAATGAAAAGACCTACCACTGGCACCATCAAACTAACTGCTTTTATTATAACTCAAAATTAAAAGAAATGTTTTGTTACCTGTACGGACTCTGCAAAACTTCTACATGATAACATGAGCAGTCTATAGTCGTTCCATTCATTCCAGTGTGCCCATCTGGAGGCACAGGTAAGGCATTCTGTAATGCAAGAATTTGGCAGCTATCCATTGCCTTTGCTTGACCTGTAGAATAAAGGGCCAATTTTACCCCTTAATTAGATGTTTTGCAGAGTTATGTTTGAAATTTTCTTGAAAATGATTTACATTAGCGACAATTATAGTTGCTATATATAATATAATGTGTTATCTGTGCTGCAGCAAAAAATACCCTAGTATGATACCCCAAAGCAGTCTGTGTGCCGGACGGAGTCAACGTAAAAATTTACCAAATGTATATATATAAAATTAAGTATAATTTTTTTAGGTATTCCTTTACTTACTTTACTCTCCTGTCCCACACTTAGCTACTAGTTGTCCATTTTCTACTTGAATTGTGAACACGAATTCAACTTCATTTCTGTCACAGATGAATAGATTTTGAAATATTTCATGAGGGTAATTTCATAATGAGCGACCACTTCATTATGAAACAGAGTAGAGGGTTCGAGGTAACGGTGTGGGAAGGGGTTGGGTCAGGCATCTCTTCTTTATTATTGTTATAGTAGGGTGTCCATTGGGGGATTGGGTCGGGTCGAGGCCTTAAATTGCTAGCCAGATTGAGGGCCCAAAGTGGCTACCATGGCACAAGCCAATCGTGCCCAACCCGTCACCTCAAAAGCAAACGCGTTTGTAAAAAATAGTTTGTTTTCAGATGACGAGTCGGGCAATCGACCCAACCCCATCCGCAATGGGCACCCAGTATTACAGTTTGTTGGGGTGGTCGCTCGTTATGGAAGTCCTTCCTATTTTGTTTTAGTAAAATTTATTGGCACTAGCAACACAACAAGGTCATAGCCTAAGATTAGAGGCGTTACAAGACAGTAACCAACACAAAAGAGCACGGTCTACAAAAAGGCCGCGGCTATTCGGACGAGTCCGAACAGCCGCAGGAGGCTATTCGGACTCTTGAGTCTGAATTCGAGTCCGAATAGCCTTCTGTGGCTATTCGGACTCAAACTCCAATGCGCGTGCGGAATCACTAGGTCTACCGGGTGTGAAGCAGACAAACAATTTGGGGTACAAGAAAACAGAGCCAAAAATGTAATCCTGTTGATATAGACTTCAAAGAAGGTTCATATGAGGTGCTGAAAGACTGAGCCAAATTTAGATATCGGCTTTATCATTTTCTACATCTTTGGTGGTAATGGTAGACATCGATGACACAGCTATGCATACAAGTTTATTTGGTCGTTCACAGGGCTGTTCTGTCGCTTTCCTTTTTAATGTCATCCGGGCTTCCGGCATTTCCTTTTCATGTTTTGATGGAGATTCGTGATTGTGTTGGCTTCTTTTATGCACGTCAGTGTGGTTGACATCGGTGATGATAGTCGCACTGCAACTCCTGTTTGTGCACCTCCACCTTACGAAATGCTTGTTGAGTGATGCAAGTTTAAAACAAAACCCATTGTCGATAAGACCTTTTCGTCCCCGCTCTGCGGTAAAAGTCTCCATGTCAAAAGATGTCAAATGAATGTGAAAATAAGTTGCAAGATCCAGTTGTCAGATTACACATCAATTTGTGTAAGACACAAATCTACTCAGCCAACTGTGTTGTTTGTGTGTTCTTGATATGGGCATGAACTGTAAACATGTTTTTTTCTTCACGAAAACCGCATCTGCAGTGAACACACATTATAAAACAGTCGGCAACATGGAGCGTCTTTTTTTGAGAAAAACGTCCTCCCAATTCAAAACAAAGTAAGACTACGCGTATGTGTAAGACTGACTTTCAAATTCTACGAGTACTTATGCAGCTCAGTGTAATGTTTGTTTTGTATTAAAATAAAGGCAATTTAGAGGATCCAGGATCGATCCTTTGAATTAAAACGTTATAATCGATACCTGCAATTCAATTTGCCACAGTTTTCCAACAGGGGTTGGCGGCTTATTACGTAATGTTAACGAAACTGAGACATTTTTGGCTCAGTCTTCCGTACCCCGCAATCCGACCTTGGCCTTCCTCAGTTTCTACAGTCTGGCCAAGGAACTTACAACAAATGGGCGCCGACCGTGGTGACCCAGTGCAAACCGTGGTCTTTTCTTTACAAAGGAAAATTTAATAGTAGGGCTGGGCAGAGGGCAATGTTATGGGAGGGAATATAGATCTATGCACAAAAAAAAAGGGGGGTGAAGGTGGTGGGGCGGGCCTGGGGAAGTAAGATGGAGAGAGAAAAAGTAAGAGAGAGAGAGAGAGAGAGAGAGAGAGAGAGAGAGAGAGAGAGAGAGAGAGGGCGGCTGTCTTATAAAGACTGATTATAAATATCATATTTTGATCTCTTTGTAGTCGTGAAACGCAGTGTAATAGCCTATCAGTAGTTTAAAGTCCGAATAGCAACGGGAGACTATTCGGACTCTTTTGAGTATAGACCTCGCTTACGGTACAACAGGTGATTGCGCACGCGCACTGGAATTTGAGTCCGAATAGCCTCCAGCAGCTGTTCGGACTCGAGTCCGAATAGCCACTTCAGTACAAAAAAGGGTACTACTTAAGAATATGGGTCCTGTTTGGGGATACTAGTTTTGACCACACCCACGATTACTTCTGGTTCTAAACGATTACTTTTTGATGTGCGTTCCGATACGGAGAGATAGAAGCCTACCAACCCTAAGAGCAAATCATCAAAATGTTTGTATTTGTTAGGTCGCAGGGGGCAAGCCTTGTTGAAAACAAGTGAAGTTTTAGTTTTCAGGGGGAAAAATTTTTTTATCAAAGAGACTATTTCTCCGAACGCTCGAGAAAATAAACCAGATCTCTATTTTTCCGAACAGTTTCCGTTCTCGAGATTTTTTGGTTATTTGCACGATTTAGGCGTCATCTTTCATTCTGCGAGGACTGGGAAGAAGCATTTTTTGCATCGAATTCAATTTCTAGAGCTACATCTAGAGATTTTTTAAAGTCTGAATATTCAGATACTTCAGTTGTGGTTGGGGCAACGTTCCCAGACTATTATACTTCATTTGAAAATGCTTTCAAAAGGTACTGCGAAAAGTCACCCCAAAAGCAAACACTAAAATCCTTCATGTAAACAAAAATAAAATCCCTCCACACCCCCTCCCCCTACACCTCGTTCACACCTTATAGGAATATAGGCCTCGGCTACATACACACACACTCACTCACACACACATGTGCCCACGCAGGCCACTCAATTCGCAAATTACCAACAAATCTCGAGAACGGAAACCATTCAGAGAAAGAGAGCCGGCCAAATTTTATACTCTTATTTATTGTAAATTGTTTGACCCCCAAAGTCAAAGTCAAGAGTGAAAGTGAAAATTTAACTTTTTTTCAAACGGAGAGTCTATTTACACAGTAACCTGGCACCTAGCCTCAGTGTCTACATACATGGTAACCGGCAACCGGGCACGTAGTCTCAGTGTCATGTACACAGTAACCGGGTAGCCTCAATATCTACATACACAGTAACCAGGCAAGTAGTCTCAGAGTAACAGGGCAGTTCAGAACTCCAAGTTCAGTTTTTATATCCGGTGTTGCCTTCATCCCCACCCCTCCCCCAACTGTACTTTTTTTTTAAATCAATTTAATCCCCCCATTCCGCAGCCCTATACTTCGTAGCGTACAGACTTTGAATGAACTTTGGTGACCCTAACCGGCACAAACGCAGGTTCACTGACTGGTCACAATGGCGAGCCGGACAAGACGCTTGTAACCATCACTTTCTTTTTTTGGTATTTTTAAAGAAGCACTCCCGTTTCGCGTCACATCCACTACCGGAAGTCAGCTCCTTCACCACTTTAGTGCCGTCGGATACAGTGGCACTCGGATTTAACGAGCTCGGATTCAACTAGAACTCGGATTCAACGAGATGAGATAGATTCCCCATTTTTTTTCTTCTTTAAAATCAATAAAAATAACCCGGATTCAACGAGCACTTAAATCAGCGAGCTCGGATTCAACGAGGTCGCTTCCAGGGTGAGCTGCCCCCGCAGACGTGGCTTCGCTCATTTTTCTCCCAGAACGAACTTATCTATTCTCAGAAACCATCCATTGCACCTGCATCGTGAACCATATTATTCACTTAGACGAATGCATGCGACCAATCAGCGGCCCTTTTCATACCAACACATGCGTTGTTGGCTCGCGCACATGTCTACTCTGGCGTGTGTCGGGGTCGGATGGGCGGCCTGCACACATGTGACTGTGTGCATGTGTCGGGGAGGGGGGGGGGGGGGGGGGGGGGGCACTAGTGATCCGGGCGTTGAACGTCGCAGATACAAACGCGTCAGTCTTTTTTTTCCCTCGGCAACTGATCATTATTACAATAATAAACTAGTCTTGGCGTAGATCTTCGTAATGAACTGTGCGCTTGTCTATGAAATAAAAAGTTGCCGTTATGCTAGGATCTACACAGCTACACAGCTTTGTGGTAAACAATCGAGATGACACAGGAATGCTTTTTAACAAATCGGTCTTTTTTTTTTTACACAGCTCATATTATGCGGGCATTTCAGGCAGTATTTGTGACTTCTCTTTATTATACATAACTTGCTCAGTGCCTGTAATTATCTACGCAAACCCCATGTTTGCTATAACGAACACTCGGATTCATCGAGATTTTAGGTCAGGCCCGGTGACCTCGTTGAATCCGAGTTACACTGTATACGAATTAAGGCCGCATAATAAGGTCGTGTCAGGTTTTTTTAATGGCTTAGTTTAGTTAGTTTTAGGATTTTTTTGGATAATGCATACTTTTATAGTCGGGGGGTTTCAGGGGGTCTCCCCCTGATGTGCGAGTACGTTATAGCTGTGTAGAGTGTAGTAGGGCGGGTAGGGGGGTTCAGTGAAATAAAGTGCTGTAACATCTAGTTGTATCTAGGCTAGGCTAAACTAACCATTTGCGACACTTTTAATGCCAAAAATCCGGTTCAGGGTCCTAAAAGTAAAAAGCTACAAAATTTAGAATACCCTGCTTAAAGTTTACTTTATGAGAAGGGAAGGTTTCTATAATTTACCCTTTTTTCAGCAAGTGAAGGCACAGGACAAATAGATCTAAATCTAGATCTAGATCTAGATCTATATATCTAGATCTTATCTAGATTATAGATCTAGATTAGATCTCTAGATCTAGATTCTAGATCTAGATATCTATAGATTAATTTTCATTCCGGTTACCGCGTACATAGATACTGAGACTAGATCTAGATTTAGATTAGATCTAGAATCTAGATCTATATCTCTAGATCTAGATATAAATCTAGATCTAGAATAATCTAGATATCTAGGTGCCCGGTTACCGTTGTTGTAGCCTGTAGGCCTACGTAGATTACTACCGTAAGATACTCTCTTGAAAGACTAGGAGCTTGGTTAGCCATTCTATAGATCTAGACAATCTAGTAGTCTCTATACGATCATCTAGATCTAGAATTTAGGCTAGATAATAATTTAATAGATCAATATTAATATGCCACTCTTGCCGGACCACACATTCTCAAGACCAAGAAGTCTCACGCTACAAACTCAAACGTCCAAGTCGGACCAAGTCCAAGGTGGAAACAGAATAGGTTGAATAAGAACAGAGAATAAGAACAGAGAGAGGGGGGCACATGGTAGAAATACCTTTCAGTTTTCTCCAGATTTTCCTTAATAAATATTTTTTATCTAGATTCTAGATTCCTACAATAACTTCTTGGCCTATAAGATCTGGATATCTTCTAATCTAGATCTAGATCTAGAAATCTAGGCCAAATGAGACTGCTTCTCTGCTTTGAACTTCCCGCAACTGTTTCTCACCAAAACAAACATCGCCAGATGCACATGCGCACGACTGTCTTCTTCACAAGTTTCCTCTTCCGGGGGAAAAATTGATTCGGTCACAAAAGATTTTGTTGATAGATACTTTGTGCACTTTCTTTACACAAGAGAACAACATTTTCATCATGGAAGATAGAAGATTGAAGTTTATAAGATACTCATACTGTAAAAGCTAATCTAGATTAGATCTAGATATCTAGAGGTCTAGATCTAGTAGCCCAAGCCCCAAGACAAAAAGCAGTGCCTTCCCTTCACGACGTGCGACAAGAAACGTCAAAATTTAGACAAGAGGGCGAGGAGAAAGAAAGGTAAATAGTTCAAGATTTAGGGAATTAGTATTACTTTGCTCCACATCTCACACTCACACACAGTCACTACACTACTACACTACACTGACTGCACAGCTCATGCCCAGGCCTGGATGGAAGGCAAGTCCAGAAAACAAGCGGATAGTAGAGAACGACAACTAAACGCAATCAAAGTGTATACAGACCCGGTAACCGGGAACACACTGTCACGAAGTGTAGGCCCGGTAGGGGAAATCTTTTTAATTTTTGTGGTTTCGGAAAGGGCCCTCGAGTCCGAATAACATTTTTTCATATTCGGACATGAGTCCGAATAAAAATATTTCTTTAAATTCGGACTCGAGTCCGAATATGAAAAGGCCACCTCTATTCTCACCCGGGGTGAGAATAGTGCAGGCGGGTCTTGTGGCTATTCTCACCCGGTGCGCGTGTCAACAAATTTTGTGTTCACCCTAAACCACAGAATTCTACACTGTGATAAGAGAAAAATTGTAGAATTCTGTGCTGTGAACAAACGTTCCATTACAACTGTACTTGTAGCCTACTAAAAGCATACAATTTTGTCTGTGACTGTGGGCAGTGGAGAGAGAGAGAGTGAGAGAGAGAACAAAACAAAATGGCGACCCGCGTAGTTCGGCTCGATTCGAAAAGTTAAATAGCCGTAGCATCTTTGTAGACAACCAAATTAATTTACTTTTGTGTTTTAACATCATTTTTTAACTTTGTTTTGGTCAATTTGATCGTCCACACCGATAGACAGTATTCAGAAAGAGACAGAGAGAGAGAGAAGAGGGGAGGAGTAGATCTTGCGAGAACTTCCGGGCGGGTGAGAATAGCCACTTTCATATGAAAAAGGTAAGATTGAAGAATTCCGGACCAGCAGACTGACTTTGCCTATGTCTCAACCTTAAACTTAAGAATTCATAAATTCCCCGTTTTTAATATATCTCTCAATGGAGAATCTCGGACCGGTAGATCTATTCATTAAAATTTTGTCAGGGGGGAGACCCCCCTGAAGCCCCCTTCCCCCCTCCTCCACCCCAACCACCCGCCCCACCTACCCCACTTTCTCGCGCAATAATGTACGAGTGGTCCGGTATTCTTCAATCTTCCCAATGAAAAAATGTTATTCGGACTCGGGTCCGGAAAAAAGGAAGTGTCTTCGTTCTATAGATCTAATGTTCAGTGCTTCCAATTTTCCACCATTTTTTAGTTTCCCCCACACCTTTTCTGCCGATCCGATGCCCGCCGCCTCATTGATACGCCCACCCCCCCATGTTTCCCACTTTCTTTGTTGTAGAAAAAGGTAAAATTGAAGATTAGCAGACCACCTGGCACCTGCATATTATGAGCTGTATAAAAAAAAAAAGACCGATTCATTCAAATACACAAGCCTGTGTCATCTCGATTGTTTACCAAGAAAAAGTTGTGTTGCTCTGTAGAGCTGAGCATATACGGCAACTTTTGATTCCATAGACCAGCGCACAATTCATTACGTAGATCTACGTCAAGACTAGCTTATTATTGTAATAATGATCAGTTGCCGGGGGGAAAAGACTGATGCGTATGCGACGTTTAACGCCCGGACCGATAGTGCCCCCACCCCCCTCCCAGACACGCGCACAGCCACACGTGTGCAGGCCGCCCATCCGACCCTGACACACGCTAACGAGCCATCTTTAATTGCTTCTAAAGACCTCTTGACAAATAAACATTTATTAGAAGCGCAATAACTTTTCAGGCCGGCCTCAAATTCATCATAAGATAAAAACTCGGCTCCTGCACAAAACGCCATTTTGCTCAAAGTGATCCCTGTCTCTACCCAGTCTGAGGCAAGTCACGAGTGAGGCAGGACAGGAAGCCGGAGTCACGAGTCACAGGAAGTCGGAAGTGTTGTCATGCTGGACAAAAATCAGAGTCCGAATAACATTTTTTCATATTCGGACTCGAGTCCGAATAGTCACTTCGTTCGGAAAGTTTCAGCACCCAGACCCGGTAGCCGGTAGAGTGTGTGTGTGTGTGTGTGTGTGTGAGAGAGAGAGAGAGGGATGGGGGGTAGAGAACAGGGGGAAGTGCTAGCAAATATATCACATGCCACAGTTGACAGGTGGGAACGAGAGAAAGATAGAGTGGGAAAGTAGGTGGGGGAGAAAGAAAGAGACAAACAAAGAGAAAGAGAAGACGAGCGATACAGAGAGAGACAGAGAGAGAGAGAGAGAGGGGCGGGAGAGATAGAGAAATAGAGAGAGCCGTATTAGATCTAGGTTTGGCCCTATCGGCTCAAACCTGTTGAGTACACAGGTCTCATTACATTAGATTTAGATCTAGTAATTATTGAGGTTCAAATACATGCAAGTCAGTAAGGCACCTTTTGGTTTTGTCTGAAATACAAATACTTTAGGCATTGCAAACTTAAAATTTCATGTACAGTTCAGCCATCAATATTAAGTACGGCTAGCCTAACAGTCTAGCCGACCTTAAGTATGGCTAGTAGTGCTGGGCGGGAATCGATTCGATGCATCGATACCTCAATACCTTCTTGGTATCGGAATCAAATCGATACGTTCGAAAAGGATCGATACATGAGGACTAATTATTCCCAGGCAATTCACTGATCCAAGGGATGATACTTTTGTTGTTTTCAAGTCCAATCGAAACGTCAGGTTAAAAAACGACACACGCTCTTCGCCTATAAAGCAACATGGCATCAAGAAAGACTAGCATTGTGTGGGAACATTTTGAGAAGGATAATCCTTCACAGGTTAAGTGTTTATATGTATTAGGCAAAAAAAACATTTGCATTCTCAGGTTAATGGGTTGATTTTGGGTGCCTGGTGTGATGAAGCCCTCGTGGGACGCTCAATATGTTAAAAACGATCAGGAAACGACAAATGCAGTTTTTGGGACACCTGAATAGATATGGGTCTTGAACATCTAGCTCTCACTGGCAAAATTGTGGGCAAACGAGTCAGGGGCAGGGTTGGGTTGATTTAAATTAGGTCGATTTAAATCATTTGCTTTTTTTATTTAAATCACTTTTTTTTAAAATTATTTTTATTCAGTTTTTACATATGCAACATTCAGAATTCCTTTCCTTGGTTTCACAAAACAGACATATAAGATTTAGTAGACTAGACCTAATATAATCATGCTTAAAAGTCTGCTATCTCTCCTTTCACTGTAAAATAATACAGTTCAATTTACTTTTGTTTTCCATAATGAAATCAGAGCTGGGTTGATTTAAATCAGTTGATTTTTTAAATTTTAATCAACTTGATTTTTAAAAATAAAAATCAGTGATTTAAATCACTTTTTTTAAAATGTATTCAGTTTTTACATCTTTTAACATTCTGAATTCCTTTCCTTGGTTTTATAAAACAGATAAAAGGTTTAGTAGACTAATATAATCATGCTTAAAAGTCTGCTTTCCCCCCTGTCACTGTAAAATAATACAGTATTCAATTTACTTTTTTTTTCATAATTTAAATTAGCATTTTCTTTTTCTTTTTAGACAAACACAAGCGCGCGCACGCACACACACACACACACACACACACACACACACACACACACTGTAATAAAATGCAAGTTTTATCTATGCATAATTACCCCTCCTTCCCTTTAGACTAACATTTTCCTAATTTTTTTGTCTGTAGCCATAATTCACTGATACAGCTGATTAAGGCTTTCTTTTGCAGTTGCTTAAATTAATCATTAGTTAAAATAAAGACAATGCATTTTGCACTAAAAGAAAGAAAATACTTTTAGCCACCAAAATTCCCAAACTGTGTCGACATTTTAAAAAATATATTAAAATTTTTTAAATCCAATTTAAATAGAAAAAATCCGATTTAAGTTTTAAGAATCGATTTTTTTTTTTTATTTAAAAAATCAAAAAAATCACCAACCCTGGGCAGGGGTAGGCCCAGAACAATATACTTAGGGAACCTAAACAAATGGGTAACAGGGAAAGATCAGGGAAACGTAGCTTTTTTTAGAGCATCCGAGCAAAGGAATGAATGGAAAACCATGTTTGTCGCAGATCTGGCACTGGATGATGATGGTAAAGAAAAAAATTTTTAGCAATTAAGTTCAAATAAGCCTACTACGTATCGGTATCGAATCGATTCCCAGAAAAAGTATTGAGTATCGTATCGATTCCTAAATAGTGGTATCGTCCCAGCCCTAGCCTGGCTGTCTACCCGTACTTAAGTACGGCTAGACTGCGAGTCTAGCCGTACTTATCTTAGGCCCTTTTAACATTAGAAAACAGGAAGTTTAAAATACATGCACTGTCATTAAGGCACCAGGTTTCGTCTCAAATATACTTAGGTACTGCATACTAAAAATTTATATATTTACAATTCAGTAGGCCTATTTTTTTATATTATGGTAAGTCTAGCCATCATAAAGAATAAGTACGGTTAGCCTCTTCCTTTATGGCATTGTTCTTTTCTTCAAATTGTCTTATTGATTCCTCCAACTCCAACGATCGTTCATCGAAAAGACATTCACAATCTTCATTTAGATCTAGGCCTCGAAACTAGATCTATGATATATGTCTGTCTGTCTAGATCTAGACCTAGGCAATAGATGTCTAAGAACCTAGGTCTACCCCTAGCCAAGAGGGTGCTGAAGCTTTCCGAAATCACAAAAGGTTTCCCCTACCGGGTCTGTATACTTTGTGACTTTGTTCCCGGTTGCCGGGTCTGTACATACACTCCCAAACGCAATTGGCTGATATTTATAGTAGCGTAACAGCCATCTGCCATCTTGTTTGACGTCATTGAATGAGGGATTCCCACTTTGTCAGTCATGGTGGCAACACGACCGCACGACGGCAGCCTGCCGACTCAGATTATTTTCTTCGAAGGTAAACGGGAACAAAGTGACGAAGTATACAGACCTGGAATTCTTCTGTGATTTTGGAAAGTTTCAGCACCCAGACCCAGTAAAGAGAGAGAGATTGTGTGTGTGTGAGAGAGGAGGGGGTAGAGAGCAGGGGGAATTCCAGCAAATATCACATGCCCCAGTTGACAGGAGGGAACGAGAGAAAGATAGAGTGGGAAAGTATCTGGGGGAGAAAGAAAGACAGAGACAAACAAAGAGAAAGAGAAGGTGAGTGATACACTGAGAGAGAGAGAGAGAGAGAGAGAAAGAGGGGAGAGAGACAGAGAAATTATAAAGAGGGTGACTGCTATTAGCTATATTGTAATTATGACATTGTTCTTTTTTTCAAATTAATAGTCTTATTGATTCCTCCAACTCCAAAACGGAGCAAAAATGATCGTTCATCGAAAAGACATCTGCAATATTCATTTAGACCTAGGCCTCGAAACTAGATCTAGGCCTATAATTTATGTCTGTCTATCTAGATCTAGGCCGTAAATCTAGGTCTACAATGAGCCAAGAAGGCACTGAAACTTTCCGAAATCACAAAAGATTTCCCCTACCAGATCTGTATACTTGGTGACTTTGTTCCCGGTTACCGGGTCTGTATACACTCCCTATTTTCTTTGCAACTTGCAGAACTGTTCCGTTCAGTTGTCTGTGATTGTGCAACACCCTTGTTTCTCCCAGATTGATTCTGAAGCTGTACACTACGTAAACTGAGAAAAAGAATAAGACTAAGAGTAAGCCTACGTACAAAAGCAAGTTCAAACAAAGTTCAACGACGCAGTGCAAATGATTGACGGTTTCGATCCGGATCGTTTCTTAAAGTTTTATAAGCAACAGAAATTAAGCACTTGTAAACAAGAGATTGGGCTCAATAGGACGCTGAGCTGCAAATGGAGTAGATTTAATTCGAGACTGCAAGGTTTGCAAATGGATACCTCTCAAACACTTGTTCAAGAAAACCTGTATTCTAAAAAAAGATTACAGTGTGATCTCAGCTGAAGTTTGTCCCCTGACATGAGGTCAGGATATTCAGAGAGGTTTAGTTTAAATAATAATTACTTTACCATAAAGATTTGGTTCTCAAAAGTGGGATCTAAAGAGAACCAGGATGATTGTAAATAGACATTGTCCCATTGAATGACATAATAATTTTGATATTATAGATTCCACTTAAAGCAAAATCTGTAGGACTGCTCGATTTTTTTTTCTGGTTTAATAGAGTTTTTTATTTAGAGAGGTTTATCAAATAAAAGAAAATAAATTGGGGATTAATAGAATGTTCTTTCATTAAACGGCTGTTGTCTCATTAACTATGTACAGTGTAAGCTGACTCTTTTTTAATGTCCAGTACTTTCATCATTTTGCAAAGCAAGGTTAAATTGTTCAATTAAATACTCATCGTTCAGTTTTCTTTCTTTTTTGTTTCAGTGTTCTTTTAGAAGAGCAAGTGACGGATAAATTGAATGAAAATGGAGTACGTACAGGGAGACATTCATATTTGCGGTGGCTGCCGCTCTGAATTCAGTGACATAGAGAAATTTATTTGCCACAAAAGGCGGTGTGTGCTGGTTAGGTCTGGGAAGGTTCTGCCAAAGACACTACAGACTCCCCAATCTCAGGGCTGTTCTTCTGTGTACAGCAGATCAGAGCAACAGTTATCCAGCCTTTCTATGCACAATGACTCTCTATATGTCGTCGCAAAATCTTCTTCATTAGAATTGAGAGCAGGAGATGCTGAGGCCATCCATTATGACAGTGGCCAGTATAAGATTGACACCGCTTTCTCAGAAGGGGATGCTTTGAAAGAAATTTCAAATCAGTCATCACTCCCAAATCTCAGTTCAGCCGAGTGGCTCCGTTTTTCATCAAGCATGCCATCGGCCTCACAAAATTCTCAGGTGCTGAGCCACAATGTCCATGCCTGGCCTCAGAAGGAATGCTCCCTTCCAGAGACAATGCTGCCCCATGAACATTTGTATGTGTCTCAAGTGACTCCTGTTGCTGGTGAGAAAATTATGGCTGATGACACTTTAAGTCAAAGTGGAAAAGTTGTTCCAGGCTGCCTTCATCATAGCTCTGAAGAGAGTCAGGGCACAAGCAGCAAAGACCACCCAGATATAGATGTATATGTTGTTGACTCTCAAACATTCGGAACAAAAAGTCAATCCCAACAAAATGTTAATGTTCAGACACAGTGTCATGAAGCTGAACACAAGAGGTTGCCATGGCCTGCAACATCAGCATCTACAGATGAACCTGGATGTACATTAGAGTCCTTCTCGGCTATGAACTACAAGCATTTGGGATATATTGATGAAACACCTTCAGTTGCCTCAGCCCACCACTTAGCTCCTAATCATGAAATCTCTAATTCTTTATATATCGATGAAGCTTCTGATCAAACGGAAAGCATATCGCAAGAGCAAGTGGTGAATGCAAATGGTTTGCATGTCTGTGAAAAGGATACTGGTTCTTACTCTGACAGCTCCACTCCTTGTCCTGAGGACTTGGAAGTTGGCCAGATATCAGCAGCAATGGCTGGTCAAGAAAACCAGCAGCATTCCTTAAAAACTTTGCTGGGCGTTAATCGACAATTAAAGCAAAAACTTCCACCTTGCAACCCATCTGAAGCTGAGATTTCTGGAATTAGCTTCTTGCCCAACTCCTCCATCAGCATGGATGTCAACTTTCATGTGCCTCAAAGTAATTTGACATGCTACATCCGGGAAAACACTGCCAGTGCCCCGATCACCAAAACTGATACTCAGGTCGAGTCAAAAACAGAGACAAAAAAGACGTTGGAGAAACGAGAGAGACTTCGAGGAGTGTCAGATGATCTGTTGTCATCAGCTTCTCCCTGCATGTCGGATGACTCTGTCTCAAACACTAGAGATATGGAAGGAAGTGCAGCTGTCTCAGCACGAGTAAGTGATAACCATCTATGAACTATGTAGATTATGTCTCTTCTATGTTACATGCCTCGTGGCTTTTTACTGAGATTTGGTCCCAGTATTTAATTCTGTTAGTGTTCATGATTTCAGCTGTTACTTTGGCTATAGTACAGAGTAAGTAAAAGAATTAAAATGTCCTCATATTCTTAAAAAGAACTCCTTCACAGTATGTAGCTATGACATGAATATTTGTATCATGTAGTCTGTCAACTATTGTTTAGTGCTAGATTATATTAGCATCAACTTCAAATGTAGTATGACTTTTTTAAACTATAATTGTTTGGGGTGGGGGGGGGGGGGGTTCACGTGGTCCCATGGTCACATAGGTGATTTAAGGATGTCCTTAGGCTTTGGCATGTCATGTTCTTATCTGATCCCCTCATGTAACCTACTGATTTATTTTTTTGTTTGTTTACCATCTCTGCCCTGGGAAGAGCTACACATTTGATAATCTAAAGCTAAATTATTACTTTGTCCACTTTTATAAATTCCTGCCTTGTTTTATGTCAAGAAAGTGGAATCTCTGTCTTTGAAGTTTAATAAATCCAGTTGTTTGATGTTCCCCTTCTACAGAAGAATGCAATGAGATCATTTTCGAAAGGGTCGCAGCAAGAAACTCTTGGCGATAATGAGGACTGTGTCTCAGACTCTTCAGTAGTACTTCCAACTCTGAGAGGTTACAAGGCCGTTTTCACCAGCCCATCTAGTGCCGGACACAGGCTGGCTCCGAGACAGTTGTGTGACCCTTCAATGACAGACCTCCTGACCTCGCCCAATGCCAACTGTCAGATCTCAAAAGGAAGTCTCTTCACCGAGAGTTCTTTAACAGGCCAGTCTTCTATGGAGTTCAAAGACATCTCCGCATCTGTTAAAATGAAAGACGATCGAGTTTCTCCAGGCTCCAAACTGAAGAATAGTTCTGTGGTCAAGAAGAAAGCTTTGAGACGCCTTATTTTTAGAGACGATCCGGAGCAAGAAAGCAGTCACAATGTAACAGAACGGCCTGTTCAGTTTTCATCGCCACAAGATTCCTGTCACAGGAAGAAAGATCTTAATTCACTAGCTGGCAGAAATGATAATGACTCTTTAACTACTGCCACATTTTCTTGTTCTCATTTTGCTTCTCCTCAAGTGTCCTCTAAAATTTGCCCTTCAAATTTCTCAAGTGAGAATAGTGGCAGCACTGAGTCAAAATTAAATGAAGAAAATATGTGCAGCCTTCCAGTCTCTGAATCTCCAGGAGCATCTCTGCCACTGGTAGATCACCAGCCAGGCATAATTGTATCACAGACTGATCAGAGCACAGCAGAAGCTCCCCGCGAACACTTTCCAAATGTTCTAAGTGCAGCTGATGCTCACATCCCAGCAGGTACCTCATCTGATCCCAACACAGTCATCATGGTTTACAGACAAGGTGGGGGGAATTTTGTCGTAATCCCTGATGATACATGCCAACTGCCCATGTCTGGCTCAGAACATGGTTCTGTCTTACAAAGGACAAAGAACTTGCTCCTCCAGCCAGACACAGAGGCTGCAAGGGTCAACATCCAAGAGCAGATAAATGCACAGACTGTCGTAAAGGTAAGTTACCTTGCATTTGCATGTATGCGTCATTTTTCAAAATATGCTGACTTGCAAGATGAGAAAAATAACCCTTTATTGCCCTAGAGAACTGCTTTTTTCATGATAATCATGGATCATGTTGCCTGATTTCTTTTTAATTGAAGGGAGCACTTTTTTAAAAATTTGTTATTTTAACTCATGGGCTACGCCGAGCCGTGGGGGGCCCCCGGCGGCTCAACGACCAATCTTCAATTTTAGCTTAGATTCTATTCCAATCCACATATCCATGTTAAAATAAAGGTCATAATATAATGTTGACTTCCGGGTCAAGCATTTCCACTGAAAATCGGAAATTTAGATTCAGTTTTGAAACGTGATTTTGTTGTTTATTCGACTTTGTTTTATCGCGATGCCAAAATTATAGCCCGGACACCAGTCTTAGTAATTTTACACAACAAAATCTATCATTATTTTGCCCACTAAAGAAATGTAGGACTCTTTTTTATCATATTGATACGATTGGACTCATATTACCAATGCACTGTTATTGAGAAATCAATATTTTTGAGTGCTAGATTTAGAAATCTAGGTCTAGATCTAAATTGTCAAAATATTTTTTTCTCCCCAAAATCACTACTTTTTGATGAAATTACTCAAAAAGTGGCACTCAAGACATTTATAAGTTTATTCCTAATGCAATTCTGAATAATTCCATATAAGATACGAGTGGGTTTTTTTCTGTTTGTGATCGTTTTTCAAGATTTAAAAAAAATTATTTTTGTTCAATATCGGATGTTATGATCCAAATGTACAAATATTATGGAATGTATGTAAATAACTGGAAACTTTTCAATATTTTCCAGTTCTATATTCATTTATGGTTATTTTGATGTATCATTTGACTAGATGCAAACATATTTTTTGAGTTTCACCAAAGATTATTAATTTTTTTATTTTCAAATTTTATACACATCCAATCAAAATTGTGTTGCATAATCGCCTCTTACAGGAACCAAAATTTTAAAATACATAAATAAACATTACAGATGTATTCTACAAACCATACTGAAAATATTGGTATATAATACGTTGATTTTTATTTGAATTTGTGGCCCCAAAGACCTTTTAACTGCCCACTAGTCATCATCTCATTCGCCCTCCCAAAAAAAAAATTAGTCCACAAGCCGAAAATAATACGTAGCGAATGAGTTAAAAGATGTCTTTGATTGTTTGTTTTTTTGTCTTTGGGTTTCTTCTGTGGGATCTCGGCTGTTAAAACAATCTTGCTGACCTTTGATAATAGAATAGTGACTCCAGCTTTAAATCTCTTCGTAAGGTGCACAGTACAGTAAAAGCTGATTTTTCTCATTTTGAGGTTATTGTTTACTCTGGGCTATATATGTAATCACATTCTTTAAGGTATTTTGTCTCCTGATTATTCTCTGATTTGTTATTATTGTAAATGGAGTGGATATTTCAAATTGGTGCCACTCTAGTAAAGCTAATGAAAATAAAATTGTTTGATTTCTATGTTAGTCGGCTGCCTGAGAACATTTTTCAAAAAATCTTTCAAGATCTTTTAAGATAGCTTTGTGAAGACAGGTGAATATTTACTTTGATTGCACAAACAGTTTTGTCAACAGCAGATTACTAACGATGACCATTTACAGTTTTGCCACTGGGGGCTTCAGTAGCAGAGTGTTCAGTGAGCTCAGGCTCACAGTTGTGTTTATTATAATACTACAGTCGAACCTGTGTAAGACGGCCACCCATTGTCAAGGAGAGAAGTAGCCGTATAAGACAGGTGGCTGTCTTAGGCAGGACTGATTAAGATGAAGAAAACAAACCAATCCTTTCTGAGGTCCCTGCCAAAGGTAGCCGCATTGTTGTTGTTGTTGTTGTTATATATTGGTGTTTTTGCTGGGGGGGTTCTTTTGTTGCTGCTTTTGTGCAAGGGTGACAATAAAACGAAATGTGTCGGACAAGAAGGACCGAGTGCTATGGTAAAAACAAACACATGGGTCGCCACCACTCGGAGAACGAGCAGGCTTCTGTCACAAGTTCATGTTACTTTGTTACAGACTGGGTAAACAGTGACCACTCATCTCACTTACTATTTATATATGAGTTCTGGGCGGGGCTAAAAGCTTATGAGGGATCACACGCTTACCTCACCAGCAGCTGAAAATTTGTTACCTATTGGTCAACAGTGGGAGGGGCCAACGCAACATGATTGGTTGGAGGGACTACCTAACGACAAGTGATTGGATTATGACGGCTCGCCCACAACGCCATTGGGACAATGCACAATTTATGACAAAACGTAATGGAGTCACTAAGGCTGCCATCTAAGACAGGTGCTATTGTTTGGTGTGATAGGGGTTGTGTGTTAAAATATGGTGGCCGCGTCCGCGTTGGACAGTTGCCTGTTTTACACAGTTAAATTATATTTAGAAAAAACGCAAGGGGGGAAATGGAAAGTGGCCGCCTGTACAGGTGACCATCTTATTGAGGTGGCTGTCGGGGCAGGTTCGACTGTATTTATATAATGCCGTGACACAGAGTTTAGGAGAGACACAGGGATGTGCCCTTGAGCAAGATACAATAACTTTTGCTTAAAAACAGCTACAGCACAGTTGGTGGGAACTTCCATTTGGTGTTTGTCATATTGTCTGTACGGGTGTGATATTGTGTGAATTGTGTCATGTCGATAAAAGTCTTTTGAGGTATTTAATGTGAATGTTATTATAAACCAAATGTCTCCCAGGGGATCAATAAAAGTAAGGAAAAATTATTTTTATTCATTTTTATTCTCTAAACTGTTCACACACGTACAGTACACCGTCTGTGGTGTAGGGGTTAGGCAATTCACCGCCACATGCATTAGGCATGAATTTGATTGCTGCATGGTTTGTTTGTTTTTCTTCTAGGATCTCCATCTGTTTTCAGGCATGTTGTATCCCTCTCAGCCCAGGATGGTCCTGACAGGGAGGGTCGAAGCAAACCGCCTCCTAAATGATTCAAAATGTGTCAACAGGTGCATTAACTGTCTACAATACTTATTATTACAGCTACAGTCGGCAGCAGATCAAATCCCTTCCTCTGTGGACATGAAGATCTGGCCAACCCAGGACAGCGCAGCCCCCATCTCCCATACTCTTCCCCCCTCCTTGGCTGGGTTGCAGAGCACGGAGAAGGAAAAATATATCATGAAACCGCGAGCGAAGAAAGTGTCTAACAGTGCGCGGCAACAGAAAAGTGGAAGCCTATCTCAGTCGCGGTCCGTCCTGGCTTTGAGCTCAGAGGCAACACCGGTTCGTGTAAACAGTGATGACGTGACAGCTCCCAGGAGTACACAGGCTGGTCTTACTCAGTTGGCGGCAAAAGGTATTGGGGAAGTTTTTGGTACTTGTGATAAATAATGTGCAGACTTTGGTATTGATCCTTAATGATGTGAAGAAATTGACAGTGTGCTTTCAACTGTTTCTACATCACAAGATATACATAGATAGCATCCTATCAACATGTCACATTCTGTCTCTCTCTTTCTTTCTCTCTCAACCTGCTTTGTCGTTGGATTGGTTAGCTATAGAGGTAGCGATTTGGGAAATCCGGATTTCTGAAACATTCTAGATTTTTGTAATATAGTCATGATTATACATTTATTTTATTTTTTTTCTTTTTGCACGTCATATTGCACTTAATACAAATATAGTCATGATACAAGGTACATAGGACAATGTGATCCATAAATTTCGAATCCCAGAGCCCATGGGGTCCAAAATAATTCTGAATATCCAAAGCCTTTTTGCTCCTGTGGTTAGATTAGATATAAATGCAGTCTATTATCATTATTATTATTATATTATGTGCTTAATTAATCTTCCTGCTTTTGAAAATCATAAATTTTGACTGCACTGGGGTTTTTTTTATTGTTATGTAGATTTCCATGTATATTATATAAGTAGTTTCAGATTTTTCATGGAAAATTTGTTTTAAAAAACATCATGTCCTTTTTTTAAAAAACAGGTTCAGGAGCCAACAATAGTTCACAACCTGCTGATAAAAAGACACCTCCAAAATATCGCTGCGAGTATGAAAAGTGCAGGTATGATGATGGGCACCTGACTTAATTTTTTTAAATTTCACAACGGCTATTGCATATATTTTACCTTTTTTTTTTGTCATGTTATTTTTTACTAATTGCAATACGATTGAGATATGTAAGATTTCCGGTACATGTGCATACTTTTTCATTAAAATTTTCGTTTAAAATACTTTGTCTTTTTTATGTCTATTTAAGACTTTTCGGTCTCTGTTTTTTACTTTTATAGTTGTCTAGCATAAAGTTTCCTTTTGCTTTGTTTGTGCTTTTTTTTTTTCTACTATAGTTGTAAAGAAAATTTGTTTACCCTTGATACTCTATAAAATGGAGGCAAGTGGATGGGGAGCCAAGAAATATCCCCCTGACAACCCAAGTTTGAAAACTCCCTCATTGGGGCTTCAAATAATGATATTAGTATCCCCTGCACTATAGTCCAGTATGCTACCCACTGAGCGAATGGCATATGTGTTCTTGTTCTCTCAGCTACACCACCAGCCTGTACAAAGACATCATGCGCCACCAACGAACGCACACGGGAGAGAGACCTTTCACCTGTAAGGACTGCGGCAAAAAGTTCAACCGCTCAGACAAGTTGAAGATCCACCTGCGTGGGCATTCTGGACTCAAGCCTTTCCAGTGTTCTGTGTGTGAGTACTTTACTCTAGTATGGGGGGTCAGGGTCTTTAAATAGTGTTTTTATGAGGGTTTTCATGTCTGGGTAGCTGAAGCTGTTGTCTGGCTGTACTTTCTGTGGATCCAGTTTTTGCACCCTGTCCTCCTGTTCATTTCCTAGTGCACTATAGAGTGAAGGGACCCACTGCAGCTTGATTCTCATGCATAGGATACCTTCAGTTACCTTTCGCAGGTTTGGGAGATTGTTGGCAGGGATTACCATCCGTACTGACATGACACCTCAAAGGAAAACTATTTACCTTTGGGGGGTCTGTCACTTCCCGGATGGTGTTTGTCGCATGTATAAGAGCCTTTGTCTCTGCCCTGTAGTTGGTACAATGCTACCCAGTTGGGATTGCCTCTGCTTGGCTTCGTCCATTTGGTAACTGTATGTACACTACACTCCCACACCTCCTCTTTACACAACATCAGTTACAATGCTGTATAGTGCAGTGTTTTGGATCTAGGATTGTCTTGTCTTGCTCAAATCAATTTGACACATTTCGTTCCTCAGGTGACTACGCCTCTGTAGAAAGTGGAAGTCTGAAGAAACACATGAGAATCCATACAGATGAAAGACCTTTCAAGTATGTTCTCATGACGGGAATTTATCGTCAGTTTTAAATTCATGGATTAATTTTGTTTACTATATAATATATATATATATATATACATATATATATATATATATATATATATATATATATATATATATATATATATATATATATATATATATATATATATATATATATATATATATATATATATATATATATATATCTTAATTATTTTAAATCACTTCTAATTGATTCTTTATTTATTATTGTTAACATTTAATTCTATAAACCACATCAATTTTTTTTTTAAAGTAAATGTACAGTAGATCATTAATGCCTAGAAGTTGGTAGAAAAGCAAGGTTAATGTGATTACATGAAAAATGTGGTCAAACTTATTCTGAGATGATTTACTGAAAGCTAGTCTATTTGAGCCAGTTGGGTTGTTTTGTTTTGTTTTTTGCGAGGGGGGGTATTATTATTTGTATATTTTCTCACCAGTCACCTCTTAAATAAATAAATTTTTTTACTACTTACAAATTAAAAAATGTTCAATTCTTTTGGAATATGATTTAGGAACCGTCTTTCCTCATTAAATAATGAATTTATTTTTAACCTCTGCTAAATATATGTTCTTAAAGTGTAGATTTTGTTTTGATACCTCTATTAGACTTTTCTAGTTTAGCTTGGATTTTATTTTAAAGTTTTATTTATTGTGAAGTTGTGTAAGCCTTTCTTGTGGAGCAGGATTTTTTTATTCTTGATTTGGGTAACAGCTCGAATTTTTCTGTGCCAGATTTATCAGTATATTATCATTTGACATAAAGACAGACATTGTTATTATATTTACATTTGTGCATGAAGATGGTTACGACGTGTATGCTATTTTGGACTATTGGTTTTAACATGAACTCCTCAGGTGTCAGATTTGTCCGTATGCCAGTCGCAACTCAAGCCAGCTAATCGTGCACCTGCGCACTCACACTGGAGATTCCCCCTTCCACTGCACCATGTGCTCCGCACAGTTCAAGATCAACTCTGACCTCAAACGACATCTGAGGATCCACACAGGGGAGAAGCCATTCCCTTGTGATAAATGTGACTACAAGTCCACAAATAAAGGTCAGTCTTTCATTGGTTTGGTTTTTGTGATTTTATGCCAAAAGTTTAACTCTTTTCCTACCAGGCCAAAATCCACCACTGGCCCAGGGCTTTTCCCTGACCTATTTTTACGCCCCCACCCCACCAAAAGATAATGTGAAAACATCCAACTAAACACACACAAACCATATCTTATGGCCCATCAAACTGAAGGTTAAAAAATAATCTATCAGATGACGAAACAATATTGAAAATTTATTCCAATTATATTACTTTGGGGTTTCTAAAAGTGATTATGCAATATTGAAGGTGTCGTATGAAATCTACAATTTTCCAGCTTTGAAAGGTCATAACTAAAAAAGTACAACAACAGCATCATTCAAACTTCCCAGGTAGGTTGCCTCAAGTAATGCGAAGAAATGCTGAAAGTTATGTATGTGTACTAAATATAGAACTGAAAGTATGAGACATATACTGAAATCAGGGGAGCGCTTTTTTTCTCATATTTACGTTTCGAAGGGGACAAAAAAAGCGCTGAAATGCCCAAAAATCGTCTGTCAGTGCAATATTTTCTTTCGTATCTGCTAACAGGAAGTCTATTCTATTATTTTTAAAACTTGGATCGGCCGAGAATTTCATTACTGGATTAAAATAGATAGCGAGACACTCGAGCCGTACTTTGCGGCTCTCGGTCCAGCAAGGCCAGGTACGCGAGCCGCACTACGCGAGCCGCAAAGTGCGGCTCGTGGTAGGGAAAATGTTAACTGGCTTGGTGGACTGGCAAAGATCAAGAAAGTCTACAAAACTGAGCAACAAATGTCATACACAGGTGATGGATCAAATCAACAAAGTTGTATTTTTTGGGGAGGTTTCATCTCAAGTTGTCAACGTTTTCATGTATTTTTTGGGGAGGTTTCATCTCAAGTTGTCAACATTTTCATGGTATCAAGTATGGTTCACAATGTCATAAACAGTGTGTTAGGGTGGGACTATCCTTCCTCCCAATCGGACATTGTTTCATCAGACTTTAACTTATTTTCCTCAATTCTCCTTCCTGCAAATAGATGCTCGGCGGTTGATAGAGTCAGAATGTGTGCCATAGCCTCAGGTGGTTAACAGGCTGCATCACTGTATGTCTATCATAGGGACTGAGATGGTAGATTGGATCGAAGTGTCCAGCCGATGGAGTTTTATTTATTGTGAAGTTGTGTAAACCTTTCTTGTAAAGGGATGCATGACTTTCATTATTGTATCTGGCCTGAGACTAACATAATCAATTACTTCTATGCAAAAAAAACAAAAGTTGGATATACCCTTGTCATGAAGTTAGTTTGTTGAGTTTATTTTCTGGGATGGCGCTTACAAGCAGGATCTAAGCAGCGAGTCTCCTAAATAATGTAAATTGTGTTGATGGGCGAGTAAAACTGTTACAGTCATTCCAATCAGTTACTTACAGAGGAACCCGCTATAACCAAAGTCTGTAGGAACATAGGGTTTTCTTCAGTTTTGCCATGTTTTTGCTTTTGGATGATTGCTCAAATAGCAAAGAAAAAAATCAGGGATTCTGTTTTCTTTTGCTTTTGGGCTGTTTTCAGATCAGCCATGATCAGTTTAAGCAGACTCCACTGTATAATTTGTGATGTAGGATGTATTATTTTTTTCTTATACAGGTAACCTGAAAACACATTACAAAATCAACCACTCAAAGGACAATGAGAAGTCATGTCCCAAGTGTGAGTTCACGACCTCCTCGGCCAAACGCTTCAGAGAGCACATGAAAACTCACGACTCTAAACGGGTTGTACGTTGCACGCGGTGTGAGTACACATGTACCAGCCTGACTGCACTCCGGAATCACATGAGCATCCACAACCCAGTGCGTCCTTTCCAGTGCCACGTGTGTTCCTACTCCTCGAAGCAACGGGGGAATCTGAAGAAACACATCCAGAACCTGCATCTGGACAAGTTCAAGTCGGGGGTGCATGGGAAGAATTTCAGTACTTCTGAGCCTGGTGAGTTCCCTTGTGCGGCTGCTGTGGGGGTGGCTTTGAAAGATTACTCGACAATTTTTTCTTCTCTTACAGGAGTAGCTGGAATGGTCGTGTATACAGAATATTTTCAACAACATTTTCTATTGCCATCCCCGGAGATGAAAATGTGTTATAGCTTGTTCACTTAAGTCTGCCCATGTTTGAAAATTTGTACCTCATTTATTGATTTGCTAATGCACATGTAACTTCTCATGGCACCCCTGTAGACCAAACAAAAATATTTTTGTAAAATGTTGTTATTGTAATAAAAATAGGTTCCTTTTTTGGCCCTTTGGGGGCATGCACAGGATCAACACAATAAATTTTTTACAGTAATCCAGCTTACAAATTGCTCATTTTGAGAAGGCAGCACCACCCTGCTCCAACTTTTCAGTATAAGCTCATCATGATAAATGAAGTTGCTTGTTCACCAGAAGAAACCCCCATTTATTCTCAGTTCCGCGACCCAACACAGAGCAGGTGAAAAAGCAGAGGTCCAGCAATCAAGAGCAGATAGTGGAGTGTGGTCGGACACGGCGCTCCACCAACTATCGCAAGATGCACCAGTGTGAGGAGTGTGGCTCCCGATTTGTTCGAGAGGACTCGCTGCGATGTCACATGAAACAACATTCAGGAAAACAAGAAGAAGTGGGTAGATTTTCAAGTTTCAAGTGCTGGTTTTCTGGGTTTTGTTTTTTTTTAATTTGTGTTGCTCTATGTCTCTCTTTCTTTTCTTTTTTTCTTTCCCCCTTTTTTTAAAACTTTCTTTTTTGTTTTGTTTTGTTTGTCATTTCTTTTGTATCTTTTTTTCCCCTTTTTCTTTTTCAAAGTTTGTTTTAAAGCACCTTTTTAGGATCTGTGAGGAGAGAAGTTTAGAAGAATAAAAACAATAAGAATTTTACAGGATGTGGTGGACGATTCATTGTGGTCTGCTCTTTCTACTTCTTTAATTTTCATAGACTTTGACCTTAGAGGCAGATTTTTTTTGCTCTGACGTTCCAGATGTATGCCCTAGTCATAAACATTGGAAAAAATATTTTATGGTTGTATCAGTGATAAAATGTTTTCCTTATGGTCTATTGATTTTCTGTATTTGAATGATTATGTTCTCACTCAATGCAGGTGAATGGAGGACACCACTGGTAGGTTCTACTTGTCTTCTCTTTGTCCGTTGCTTCTGTCTGTCTATCTTGCTATGTCTTTGCACCTAATGACTGATGTTGTGTCTTCTCAGTATAGCTATGGTCTTTTGAATTTTTTGTACCAGAATACTGCTTTTTTACTCTGCAGGTCACATCCACCAACAGAGAACAGACAGAATGTGTCTCTGAAAACAGGCAGTTGTTTTCCTCACTACCTCTAACTAGGGTCTCTTCAGGCTCGGTGGAGCAGAGTGTCCAAGTCCGACAGGGCATGCATCACATCGCTGCAGCGGCTTCTAAAGCTTTTCAGGAGCAGTTTATCGGAGGAGGTGGAAGGGAAAATTCACCCGAACAACTGGAGGTGGTAGCAGATGTAGATTGCAGTACAACCACCACCACCTCCTCTCTCCATTATCGGGACAAGAGTGACTCATTAAGAAGTATGGGTCATGCATGTACTACTACAAGAGTAACGCCACATCCAATTGCTCCGAGTCGAGTCAAGAGGTCATCTGCCATCCTTGAATCTCATGGACAAGTGAAGAAGGAGTCGCTGGATGCTCCAGCATTGTCGTCTTTGAATTCTGTTGACACCAAAGGCCAGCCACCATGGGAGCATCGCTCATACACACTGTCAAGCACTGATGCTTCGGCCAACACTGGGAAAAGTTCTAACAGGTTATCTTCACGCCGGCTGGAAAGACGTTTGCAGAATGTCGCTACAGGCAATTCAGCAAATGGGCCATCAGTTTCAACAGATTCTCTCCGAGAGAATGCTTCCTCTGCGAAATTGCCTCATACCAAAACCTCATCGTCTAAGAGCAGGAGGAACGCCAAACGGCAAAAGGTTCAAAATTCCACCCCGACTTTGCTTCCTCAGACGGTCCCAGGTGGTGTGACTGAGCAGACCCGTGAGATCTCTGGGTCAAGACAGGTGGTCAGTGCTGAGTTTCTCCTTCATCAAGGGACAGACACATCTCAGCCTGCTGCTGCTACTGCTGAACTCCTGCCGGGGCCATGTGGCGAGTCCATCATGCTTCTTTCTCATCAGGTTTGTTGTCTGGTGTTAATTGTGTGGTGGTTTAGCAAAACAGGCAAATTCTTTTTAAGTCATAGATTAAGGTAGGTGCTTTATTTTTTTGGGTCCGTAACTTTTTGCAGATTATACAGAGTTATTAGACTGGAAAAAATCTCTTGTTGTTTTGTAAAAATGAATTCATGTAGACAGTAAGCCTTTCATCGCCATATAACTTGTGTGACTGACTTCAACGAATCTGAGTTTGCTCATTTACATATTTGTTGTGTACGACGTATTTGTTCATTTTAAAGAATAAGTAAAATCGGGAATCTGTCTCTTTTCATTGAATTCAAGATTTAGTTGAATCAGAGTTTCATTGTACTCGACATTGATGTGGACATCCTTCACTCATACAATCAGTCCGACTTCTAACGCCTGTGTGTGTGTGACTCGTGTTGTTGTTCCCAGGAGGTGAAGGGAGAAGACCCGGCGGCCTACAACCTTCAGCTGGTGCCTCAAGTGTCTGGGGGAGCTCCAGCTTCTAACTCGGATATCCTGGCCCTTACACAGGTCGGTTGTGAAGTCTCGGTGCTAGCTTTTTGTTATAAGGAAGCCTACCTGCTTCAATGTGATTATACTCTCCGAGCTGGTTGTCTCAGTGGCTAGTCAGGGTTACCCAGCTGCCCACCAGTACAAGTTGGTAGTTTTGAGGGTGCCATTAGTTGATCTTTTTTTTTTTTATTTATGACTCCACATATTTTTCTGTCAATCTGCTTTTGCTTTTTTTTTGTGCTAAATACTGATTGTTGTATCAATGTGCTTCGTCTATATTAATTATCCACACAGTCACTGTGCTGCAAAGTGTATAATATTCTCTCCCAGAGGTTTTATGCACCCTGCATAACTTAGCAAAATTTGATCATTTTTTGCATAATTTCTGATTATTTTCCTTTGTCATTCTTTGCTAAAAATTATCAGAATCTCATAATTTCATATTTTGGAGCTCAGTTTGCATAATTTTTTTCATTTTTTTTTTCATGAAACTGCAGGGACAGAATATTGAAATAGGCAATCGTGAATCATGACATAGGTTGAGTTGATGCCTCTTCTTCTTCTTCTTCTATCCCGTGGTTGGGGTAACCGTTGGGGCACCACTGCATTGGAAAACCAGCTCTCGCCATCTATTTTTGTCTTTTGCTCTCCTCAGATTGTCACCCATCGTCTTTCCTGTCCATTCTGTAATGTTGTCCTCCCATCTCCTTCTCTGCCTTCCTCTTTTTCTCTTTCCTTGTAAGGTTCCTTGCAGGATTGTTTTGGCAAGTTTTGTGGATCTTGTGACATGCCCATACCATTTTAGTTTTCGTCTCTTCACTGTGGTCAGTAGATCTTCATATCGTACTTCAGCATTTGAAACGTGGTCTTTGTACGAGATGTCAAGGAGTCTGCGGTAACGTCTTAACTCTGTGGTCTGAATCTTTTTCTCATACATAATGTATGAAACTCCTCTTGAATTCGTATCACCAGGAACTGATTCGGCATCTTGGCCTGGCCCAGCCAACGCCCCCTCCTGCCACCCACATCCAGATCGTGCTGCCAGGTGCTGCAGTCCCCAATCCTGGCCAGGTGATGGGAACCAATCAAGGTTACATGTCAGCCCCACAACAGATTCTGCTGCAGGTTTGGGTTACTTTATGTTTGTTATGAGCAAACTGTCTTAGTGACTAGTGTCTTGTAAAAAGGGATTTCCGACAAACTCAATTTGTCTAGTTTTTCACAGAAGGAGGAAAAGGGACACTCCAGCGGTGCTCAGCTTTTGTTTTAGTAAGCTTTTTTCGGCATTCGCAACACAATTGGTCGTTTAAGTGCCAAAAATTAGAGGTGTTACAAGAGAGTAACAAACACAAAAAAGAAGAATGAGAGATAAGGACAATAGTTGTTTGATAGGAAAGAAGGGGCAAACCACACGAGAGCACCCGCCAACTTCCCATGCTCAGCTTTTAAGAATAACTCATATTATGTATGTTTTATATGGACTATATGAACACTTATCAGTGGTGCTATGCGCTAACTGTGTTTTTTATTTTGATTAGAGTTCTGCAGTGTTTGCAACTGCTTACGATCATATGAGTTAGCATCTAACAGTCTAATTGGAAGCGTGCACTATGAATATGTTTAACCCTTACAGTACTGAAGGCTCATATAGTGAAAAACCCTGAAGTACCGCACCAGTTTAGAACGTTGAAGCCATGGAAAAATGTTTACAGAATTTAAAAAACCTTCGCAGCCTAAGAAACACACTGAACAAATTCACAGAGTGACTTCCTTTGGTATTACTTCAGTTTGGTGGCTCTGTTTGTTGTCGAATTGACGACGAAAGTCGCTAGTGGTAATGAGCGCATACTATGGCTCAGTGACAAAAGTCACCAAGGGTACTAAAAGTGTTAAGGGTACAGTATTGTTTTTGTCTTTCGTCTTTTAAGACTGAAGGTTTTTTTTTCATCAACTGTCAAACCATGTGAACCCCCCCCCCTCCCCCTTTTCCCCTTGTACATCTGCTTACAGCCTGGTTTTGCCAATGCTCAAAAGGGAATACATGTGCAAACAGATTATTTGCCCTTTTAAGGCTATCCTTGGGAAAGGGACCTGACAAATGTACTGGTCTCGTGATAAATGTTGGAGTTAGAACCATTTTTAAAATCGGTTTACAGGAAATTGCGGTACAACGCGATTTAGCAAGAAAATTTTTCAAGAAAAGTCCCGCGGTTAGACTAGATTGAGCATGTGTGCTAACTATATATATGTTCAGGGTCTTTTTTTTCCCAAACTTATTTTTTCTTTGAACTTTCACAGGTTCAAGATAGTTCTGGCCAACCACAAGAAATAATCGCACTGCCGATGGAGCGAGGGAGTAACTCGACTCTTATTTCAGGCCAAACAGCTACATTCTCACAGCAGCCTCAGTCTCATGTGAGCCAAATGACCATGAACCAAGGGATCCTGTGTCAGGGTCAGATGCCCATGAACCAGACAATTGTCCAAGGAGGTCAGATGACGATGTCGAACCACACAGGGCAGCTGGCCATGAAGCCATCTTTGTCTCACAACGGTTTTGTGGGTGGTTCGGAATTGCAGCTGATCTCCACTAATCAGAATGTAGTGTTGCAGGCTCCACCTAATCAGCTGACGGCTATGAGAGGAGTGACAGCGCAGCAGTGTCTGGGTTCTGCCTCTGTGGGCTCTGGTGCAGGTAGTGCTTCCAATGTGTTTACCGAAGGACAGGTATCGCTGAGTCAGTCTGAGCAGGGAGGAGAAGGGGAGTCTTCCTCCGCAAACCTGACTGTCTACAATAGTGGCGCTGCCACACAGCACGTGTATCTGTCAAATGCACAGCTAACTTCTAATGAGACGCCCCACCCCCAGACTCGAACCCTGACCTCTGCCAACTCTCTCTCTCACGCATCCTTTACGGTGTGCGAGTCAGAACCTCTGCAAACCACCCACACCTCTCAGGCGGGGATATTATACCAGCATCAAGTCCCTTCGTATATGAGTGCTCAAAACTCCGCAGCGGTGGTCCAGCAACCTCCTCGTGACAACAACAGTAATAATGTTAGTAATAATGTCGCCACTGTGGCTCGGCTTTCCCAGGGTGCTGCAGTGATGCAGACGTTGGGGGAAGCCGTCGTCCCCACAAGCTTGGTACCTATACAGCATGGTGTTCAGCCCCCGGCCCTTCACAACATGGTAATGCTGAGTGGTGAGTTTCCGAGCAGCACCGCACCGCTTCAGACGACGTCGCAACCGTCCGCTGTGACCCCTGGGTATCTGTCCAGTGTACTTCCAGACGTGCCAGGTCAGGAGCAGACACTTGCTCAAGGTCAGTTTACTGGCTGAGTTTCTTGTCAAATTGGAGTGTTTGTATATGTACTTGGATGGCATCGTGGGGAAATCAGGTGTTTAATTTTTTAAAGTAATGAAATTGAAGAACCGACCTTTTTTCGCCTAGATGGCAATTTTTATAGATATTTGGGGGGGGGGGTTTTAGGCTCAATGCCTTTTATGTTGATTTCAAAACACATTTCAAAGGGTTAAATCTTAGTGGTCTTCTCTTCATCGTCTATCTCTTTCACACTGGTGTTGAGTATAAGCTGCCAATAAGGGCTCTCCATCTTTTTCTGTTCAGAATTGCCTGTATTGACATTTCTCATGCAGAAATTACGAGTGCTTTGTCACATGCTCATGTCAAATCTTGTAATACCCCCCCCCAGCTTGTAACTACATTACATACACATACAGTGGAAACCATATATATAAACAGGCCCAGTAATAACGGATTTTTTAAATCCCCGTTTTTTCCTACTCTTTGTTTCTATTAAAAAGTTTTGGCAATAACAGGTTGTCATCAGTGTGTAAAAAGTAAGAGAGAGAGAGAGAGTAACGCAGTCAGTGATGGAGCAAGCCCACGCAAGCCACACCACTGCCAGCACATGCAGCGGGTGAAGTCAAAGAGGGCTGCGATGTGCTGTAGACTTCGATTTAGCCCCCAAGCCTAGCTACAGGCACGCGTAATGTGTCATGCACAGGCCTGCCTCATGGCCAGAACACCTGTTCATGTGAACTTGTGGCCAGGGAAACTACCCATGAATAAATACAGCTGGATTAGTCCACAAATGCTTACTTCCCTTGCATTTCTGATTTAACAGGGATCGCATATATATATAACAGGACTTTTTGTCTGGTCCCACCATCCCTGTTATATCAGGTTTCCGTTTACGCTTACTCAAACACCTCTATATAGATCCTTGAATAAAAGTAAAGTTGTGCCATCCTCCATTCCTAACTTCCAACTTCTCGACCTAGTATGCATCATTCAGAGCCTTAATTGCATACGTCATATTAGAACAGAGTAGGGACACAAAGATGGCACTGAAGCAAAAAGACGAAGGAGACTAAACTTTTTTTTACTTTAACATATATATAGGATAAATAATTAATAAAAATCCTTTTCCTTTTTTGTACATTTAAACCTGTTCTAACACTGACAGTCATCTAGAGTAGGCTTCGGCCGCCACCCGGGCAAAATTCAAAATTTCCTACCAACTGAAAATATTAGGTGTGTCCCGCGTGCTCATATGACCTTATGCAGTTGCGAGCGCCGTAAAACACTTTACAAAAAAAATAACAGTCATCTGTTCAAAATAATCACTTAATAACCATTTCCCACTTTTTGCACTTTTTATATTATGATGAAATGACCATCCACCTGTCTGAGATGACTTATTTTCTTGTCTGTGCAGTGGGTGGCCGTCGTAGACAATTTCAACTTTATACGTTGTAGTCTCTCCCAGCTTTATGTAACCATCCATGGTGTGCTCTGCCACAGGTTCAGATGGAGTGCCTGTCCCTCTTCAAGAAGTCATCGTCCACCTACAGCAGACATCAGGGACCCAAGGAACTCTCGAGGATTGATCACCCAAGTCAAAGATTTGTTTCCCTCTCCCCCCTCGATCTCTCTCCCTCCCCTCCTCTCCCCCTCCCTTCCTCTGTCTCTTGTATCTCCTTGTTTTTCTCTCTCCCTCCTTCACTCTCACTTTCTGTCTTTGTTTTTCCCTCTCTCCATCTCTTTCTCTCTCTCTAACCAGATACGTTACTCTTACAGATCTCTATATTTTAGATATATATGGAAAACCAATGAGCAGGCAGGGGCATCTGTAACACAGTAACAGTTAGGCCTATCGCTCTTGCACCCAGAAGATTTAAATCCAGTTTCCCTTCGGGAAAGTTTATTTTATCGAGTATCTCCCATCTGCCTGCCTGAGAGAATGTTGTATCCCACTTAGCCTGGGTTGGCAGCTTGCTCTTTAAATGATAAAAATTGTATCGATGGGGAAGTTTCCTAAAATTATTACTTTTGTCATCCTTGTGAAACTCCTCCACCACAACATCCTCATACACTTCTTATTTTGCATCAACCCTGTTTAGATTTTGTTTACTCTTTTGCTGGCTGGTTCAGCTTTCTCATTGCCTATTTCATGCATTCCGATACGAAAAGTGGTCATGTAAACTCAAGCTCTAGACATTTGGTTTTTTTTTTCAAGAACTTGTTTCACCTTCTTGCTTGCCTTGTTTCTGCTATTTTTTAACTTCTACCATTCTTCGAGTGAAGTATGATGAGAAGTAGCCTTTAATGTTCTTCTTTTTTCACATGGCTACTGTGAGTATACAATGATCCAGCAATTTGTAACAAGATTTAGTTATGTTGCATTCTGAGAAAACCTTCAGCAGGTTCATACTATTCATAGCTTTGTTCAGACCAATAAAAGGAAATACAGTGGGGTGTGCTGTAATCAAACACGGTTAATTCAAAAACAGCGATAAACCGAAAGAAAGCAAAATCCCTGATTGTATTTCTTCGTTAAAAAGGTATGGATAAACTTCCATTTCTAAACGTGAAAGAATTTCGAGTGTCAGTTTTGACAAAATCATCTCCCCCATGTCTTTCGGCTAACAGAATTTCTGTGTAAATAAATCGGGGCTCATTCCTAGTTCTTCAAATAATGCCAGATAGGCAGTCGCACCACCATCATTGAAGACACAAGCAGCCCCAGACACTGCTGGTTTTACTACAGTCAGTCCATGATTTTTGGTTTTGGGGCATAGTGTCACTGCAAATTTTGGCTGCCCCTGAAATCAGTGTTACCTATTGTCTGAACCCTGAAATGTCAGCCAAAAGACCTGGGTGCAGGGGCAACGCCATTTGAAAAAAAAACCCACCATTTCCTTGTACAAAAATGTAAAATTGCAAGCTTTAAAAATCAGATGAAATGTTCACATTTCCTATGTATGGTATGAGCAGATTTAGATTACACTTGCAGGCCTACTTGTATGACAAACATTACGACAGTAAAAAAATCGAAATAATTGATTGCTTTTCTTACCTCCGTCTCATTCAAAGTTCTGGTTGACCCTTTTCGTCACCTCTTACGATGCATGCTTGGGTCAGGCAGTGGATACCATTCTTACTCCTTACCCACAAGGATGCTCTAGTGAACTGCTTAGTGGCCTTCTTGAAAAATTTCATGATAGACTATTGAGGCCCATTTGGCTCTGTCCTTTCGGAGATGGACGTTAAACTCGGAGGTCCTGCCTCTTCTACAACCTAATAGTATTGATAGGGACGTTAAACTTATATGCACATGTGTGCTCTTTTCCCACTTTGACCTCTTTCTATTTTAAGTTTGGTCTTCTATGTACCCTTTGATAAATTCCATGACTCATGTGGAAAGTAGCACCATTGTTCAGCCTGATTCCATGTAAAGACTTTTCTGTTGACATCCACCCTTTGGCGCTCATATGACCTTATGCAGTTGCAAGGGCCGTAAAAACTCTATTAAAACTAAACTAAAAAAAACACTGACAGGAGATCATCTGGCCGTACTGAATTGGACTTGGCTTCAATATTGATGCGATGTCCTTCATTTGAACATAATATTTTGGAAAAGTCCCATACGGTTTTCTGCTGTTTATCAACATCCAGTACGGTCTAATGTGATGGAAGGATAATAATGCTGACACAATTGACAAAACATGTTTGTCCTTAACATCTCTGCAAGGACAGAAACCAACTTCTGGTCAGAATGAGAGAATGAGAACAAAAATTAGACAAAAATTCCACTCACAATGTGCAAACGATAACATAACACTGCACAGGCATTCTCAAACAAATTGTTGAAGCAGCTGCTTCTGTAACTAGTGAAAGTAGATTTCACACCTTTAATGTCACAAAATGCCAACCACTCTTGGCATGAGCAACATTACTCATCACCCCTGGGCCCAAAAACATCTGCAGCACAGCAGGTCAGTCGGGGGCCGGAATTTGCTGTGTTTGGGAGTGTGACTTTGAATTCAGATCACCATTTTGTCTGCTGGCTGCTGCAGCGAATATAGACGGGAGGGGCTGGTTGCTCAAGTGCGCTTTCTTGTTGGAATGGTGCACAGCAGTTTTGGGATGTTTGTGAAGGGCCTTTTTCCCGGACGAACTGTAGTTGATTTTGTCCTGACAGTACAGACACACCACAACACCATCATCAGTCAATTTCCTCTCATAATTATACGTGAGCCCGCCGGATTCATCATTTTCATCTAACCACTGCCGCCTAAATTTGTTCTTAATGGAGGAACCGATGTTCACACCCGCGCTCGAGGAACGCTCCAATACCGAAAATTGCTCCATTATGAATGAACGCTTTCCCTGTCATCAATCACTTTGATCTTTCACTGTACCTTTTATCCTATGGTAATAAATCCAACTCGAATTGAAAACTAACACAGCAACAAGTGTGACAGCGTCATTATCGGACTAGTTAAGCCAGCGTCGAGTGGGCACTCAATTTTCCAATGTAAACTTCCAGTTCGGGGCTTCTGGGACCCGCAAATGAGGTAGCCAGTTCTTACTTCATTTATTTCGCTTTTTTTTTTTTTGGCCAGCCGAATCGCGGAGGATTTCGGGATTTTTTTTTCCGCCGGCCGGATCGCGGACACATGTTGGCCCGCCCAAATGGCAAGTCGGCTGGAAAAAGACGGAAGATTTACATCCCTGCAACATCTCCCTCCAGACTATCTACCACTTTCGATTTTGTCGTCACCCTCTTCCCATCTACCACCATTAACTCAACTTCAGTGGCATCCTTTCCTTTCACAACTCTCCCTTCAAATGCTTTGGTGCAAATTTCATCCTCCCAAGCGTCTACCAGTCCTGCCCGAATCATCGTGTTCGGACACCCGGTGTCGACCAGAGCGTGTCGTAATTGCCCTCCAACGGTTACACTGATAGCGGGTACACCTACAATTTCCTCTTCCACACAAGCGCTTATCCCGCTTGTGCCCCCAGAGGCACCTCCACCACCCGTCCCTCGCCCACTTTTAGGCTTCCCCTTCGGCTCATATTTGCAATGAACAGCTATGTGCCCTTTGTCCCCTCAACAGTAGCAGATAACTGATTTCCTCCTATCCAAGCAATCATCTGAGCAGTCCCGCTACAAATGGGGCCCCCCCGCACCCAAAACACCCTTTCCCATACTTCTTGCCACTACCCGAGTCCTTTCCTTGTTGGCCATAAGTATCCTCGCTCTCCCAACCAGCTCAGACATGTTAATCGTCGTTTGAACCCCCACTATCTGCTGAAGTTCCACCGACACACTCCAAGGTAACCCTGTCACAAAAGCCAGCTTAACCGACTTTATCAAGCCCGGCCCCCTCCAGCCCACATGTCTTTCCCAGCCGCCTCAGTTCATTTGCAAATACATCCACCGGTTCCCCCGTACATCGCGATTCGCGTAGCTTACAATATGTCATAAACTCATTATCTGTGAAAACCTCCTTCGACCGCCTCTTTATCATATCAAACTCCTGCTGTTCTCTACTATCCATCTCCATGGACACTGCCAAGGCCTCCTCTTCCAAGTACAGTGGAACGAGACTTGCCACATCGGTTATATTCGTAAGTTTCGCTGCCAACTCTGCCTTCTGGAGCCAAGCAACAACATCCCCCTCACCCACTAAAGGCCTTCAAGACATCATGTTTTACGAACGTAGCTGTCTTACCGACCTCTCCCCAAACTACATGGATGAAATTTTCAGTTTTTTAAGATAAGATAATAAGCTGTATGAAAATGCAAACCGATTTGTGTTATCTTTTTTCTGTTTGTTTGTACAAGCGTTCAAAAATTGATCAAATTTTGGGCAAAAAAAAGGCTGGTATACACTGACTACCCACCCTCAAACATTTTTTTCTCTAACAATTTGCAATGATAATGACATAAAACTAGGTAGGTCTAGATACCCAGAAGAAAAGCATACCTCTATGTTTCAGCATATTTTTGGAGAATGTATTGCCAGTACACTTTTATAGTGTGGTATTTTTCAAAACAAGGTTCGAGGCAGAGAGGTACTTCGTAAGTGGGACCACGGTGTTGTGTGTTTGCCCTCATGCCTCTTCTGTCCAGGGTGTTGGGCTTTATCAGTGTCTACACAGACCCTGGAGTGCCTCCTGGTCTTTCTGGTACATGCTGAGTGAGTTGTTCGGTGAGACGCAGAACAAACTTTTTCGCAGTCAGCTGAGGCTGGCCCTTAGAGGCTTGCAGTTTCCTATGGAGAATGGAGCTCTGAGTGATGGAGAGAGTCAGAAGATGAAGAAAAACTTTTTGCCACCACTTCAGAGACCGCCAATTCAGAGGTATATAGGCCATAAATTGTTTGATAGCCTGTTGTCACAGTTTCCTGTTGACAGTAGTGCAACTTCTCTCTTGTCCCTCCACTTTAGAATGACCAATTGACCTTTGCATCAATAGGCTGATTCCCCTTCTCCAAGGGCTGCTTCATCAACTCCTTAGGGAGGCCCTTCCAGTTTTTTTTTACAGTGCCAGTGATCATTGTTTTCCTCTCAAGTAGTCGTGAAACAAGATCTGGGCTTGTGTAGTACGAATCTGTATATAACCAATAGCCTTTGTCCAGGAGAGGTTGCAACAATCGCATGACGACGTCTGTGGGTTTGTCGCCAGCATAA